TAAGTGAAAGAAATGGTGTTGGAATGGCTATCATGATAGACCTTCCTATCAAATTGTCATGGCTTACCTAAGAAAATATGATTTGCCTTCATGAGAACTACATCACACAAAACCTCATCTTCATATTTCTCACTCGAGAAAGTTACCTTAACTTACTTATCAACTAAGAGTTCACCCTCTTGGTTTAGCCATTAAAGCTTGTATGGCCTAGGGTAAGGGATAGTGACAAAACTAAACTTACTCACTAACCTTTGGGAGGCACAACTGGTACAAGATCCTCATCAACTATTAGGGAACATAAATTTTCTAAGACATAACATCTAGTATGGAAAAATGTTTTCTCTTTGTCAATCATCTAACTCATGGCTTTGACTCCCTAATAGTTTCTTAATAAATATTAAGTCATCTTCACTACTCCTAAGATCTTCATTAGAACTATAGTATTTACTTTGAGTTGAGGATAAGGAAAAGGATGAAGGATCCTCACTAGTACTAGTATTGCAATCCTTACCATTTAGTATCATGATTTTCTTTGTAGAGCATTGGGATGCAATGCGATCCCGTCCCAAACACTTAAAGCATTTGATTGAATCACTCTTTTCTTTTTCTTATTTTAGAGTGTTCCTAGTGGTTTAAGAATTATTTTTGTTAAAACTCTTTGTTTCTTTTTCTTGAGAGTTTTATGTAGGGTCTTTCCTGGCCTTGTAAGACATACCCCCCTCTTATTTTTATCCTTCCACCTTTGGGTGGAAGATTCTTCTTTAAAGGAATATTTCCTACTTCCTCTTTCTTGGAGTTGTGTCTCAACCCCAATGGCTAAATGCACTAACTCATCTAAATTCACATGGAGAAGTAACTCAACCTTTCTTTTTATATCTCTATTTAGGCCATTCATGAATCTTATTATAGTTGTTTCATTATCCCTTTGTACATTAGCCCTAATTAGATAAATTTCTAAATCTTTATAGTAGTCCTCTACACTTTTCAAGCCTTGGTTTAGTCTTTGGAATTTAGCAAGTAGCTCACTCTATAGTAGGTAGAGACATATCTTTTCTTAAGTAAGACTTTGAACTCATCCCAATAACAATGGGAGGTAAGCCTAACTTATCTCTTTTTTTATAAAAATTGGTCCACCACATTAGGGCATAGTTTTGAAATGATAGGATAGTTATCATAACTTTGTTTTCCCTAATAATCCTATAGTCAATTCATTGCATACAATGTGACCATGCTTAATATTCACTAGAAAAATAAAAATTCTTAGTTATGATTACTTCTAAGATACGTTCATTTCAATGCTCTCACATCATCATCCAATCATCATGCATGAGTCTCCAATTCTTTGGTTCTCTTATACCCCATAAGTCTCTATTATGGACTCCCTCAAGTTGTTGGAGTTGAAGAGAAATAAGATAAGCATATCCAAATTGATGCATTACACAATCAAAGGGCTAACAGTTGACCACACTAGTCATTCACCTCTCACGTCATTTGGAATTACAATATCAATTTCATCATCCACATATGATCTCCACAAAAACTACAATGAATAAAATAGATTAGTGTGATAATCAATATCAAATGTTTTATAGAGATACATTTAACATATAAATAAGAAAGTATAAATCTTTAATGTGTGAAAGATTTAAGTTTTCACACATTTCCTTAACTACTATAGTAAAAAGATTTGTAAAACCAATCACTAGTACACCATTGATTTGAAATCCAACCAACATAAAAATATTTTCTAATGTAATTGTGCCTTCTCTGCAAAGTAAGTAAAATGTATATGTTTCATACCTCTATCATTCCACAAGTATATTAACAAATGGATCGTTTGATTTTCATTTGATAAATTAGAGTATTTCAATAAAGGCTAATATGCCGTAAAATTAAGATTTTTGGTCTAGGTAGAATTGTTAATAAGTAACGAGTGCATAATAATTTCATCACTTGATACAAATCATAAAAAGTAAATGAATTAAGTAGTGTATTCTCGAATAATTTACAATAACGCTAATAATATTTTACAAAATAGTATTCATGCAAATTAGTAGTTAATTAACAATTTAAAAAATTATAAAGTACACTTCTTATATTAAATTATAAATTAAAAACAATATTTAATAAATTACTTTATTGCATCGTAATAATAATTAAGTCAACAAAAATACATTATAAATTAACCTAAATATTTTCAAAACATATTTAAGAAAACAAAAAAAATTACCTAAAATATATTATAAGCATACTTAATAACTTTAAAATGTTCATAATAATTACTATGATATCTATATCTTATTATAAATGCTATAAATAAATTTCTTTAAATTGTTATTAATAATTAGGGCACTTTAAATTTTTAACCAATTATAATATATATATATATATATATATATATATATATACATTATATACAATAATTTTAAACTTTTTTTTACATAAATAATAATATTTCTCAAAAACACTAATTACAAAATGTGCAATAATATATTATTTTTCTTACAAAAATTCAAAACTTATCTAATTTAGTAACTACTTATAATAACAAGTAAATATTTAGTTTAGTCTCTAAAACATGTATATGTACGATCATTTAAATAAGTTCTCCAAATTTAAATTTTGAAATGTTAGTTCCCAAAATCAACATTTGCCAATCAATTTAGTTTTTGACATTAAAAAATATTAAAAATAAATCATAAAATATTGATTTATTATGTTAAGTGACATATAGATATATATATGGATTTCAAACGATATTGTATATGTGCATCATGTAATGCTTTATTTTTTTCTTTTTTCTTTTCTTTTTTGCTTCTAATTTTTTCATTTGAATTCAACTACAACATCAAAATCCCCAAGCAAGCACTACACCATTGCTCCAACATTACTAACCCAAACAACATTCCTCCTTCAAGTTTTCTTCGACTTTTATTGGGTCAAATCTCACCTTATTGATAACATCTTCTCATTCCATTCACAATCACACCCATCTTTTTGTCTTTCACAAAGTAGTTCTAAATCTCAAAATGTCACTCTCTCATACCCTCCAACACTTTTTTCCTTTTTTTTGACATCATTGCCCCATATTTCCAAAAATTCTATCATTCAAATACACCTAAGTGATGTCATTTCTCTTGTAGTTGCAAAATTTAATGTTGAAACAACATAATCATATGATTTAATACCCCACTCATAAACACAGTTCAAGCAACTTTCATGCTTACATGAGTGGATCTAGAGAAGATAAAGAGAAGGTATTATCCAAATAAGATGTTTTGGATGGAGGAGAATCATCATAAACAAAGACATGATGTGCAACATTGAATCTCACCACTGCAAAAGTCTCAACGCTAAAGAAGCATAGCACAAAATAAATAAAAAGATCAAAATAAGAAAAAAAAATTAAAACAAAACAAAAATAGTGTCATTCTAGCTTGTTTCTTTTCAATTTCTCAGGGTTCAATTTGAGGTTTTGAAAAGAAGAAAAAAAAATGATGTCGTTTGAAGTCCACATGGATGCCTACATATCACTTAACGTGACAAATCAAACTTCTTTTAATCAGATTTTTAATTTTCTATTTTTTTCTAATATTTTTTCGATCCTATTCTCTTTCCCTCAAGTCTTCTTCTACCTTGAACATCTCTCTCAAACAGTTCCTCACTTTGCACATGACTTCCTGGTTTATGTACAGCTCTAATATATAGAGCAAAAGTCACAATTAGCGATTTTTAGGGTGTTAGAAAACTTAATAGTTGTTGTTCTTTGATTGACATGTACAAAGAGATTTGTCATAGTTAAAAGTCGTAATTGACAATTTTTCAAAGGTTCAAGATGACAAGACTTCACATCCAAAGGTTACGACATAACAATTGCTAGCAGAGATTTTTTATGCAAAAAGTCACCATTAGCCTTTTTTTAGGGGTTCAAAATGTCTGCAACTCGACCCTAAGCATTTTGCTATTGACACACTTCATGCAAAGGTCGCCAATTTGCAGAAAACATCATATTTAAAATTTCCCCTAATAAACCTCGTACATTTTAAATATAAAAATAATTATTTATCTTTATATTATAAACATGAGTATTTGAAAATAAAAATGATTAACAATCATGTGTGACTTATATTTTTTTTATTGTCATGATTTTAGTTTTTATCTACATTTTTATTAATTTTGTTGTAACTTTTAAAAGTTAAAGTTGGTACTTAACTTTCTCTTCTTATCTTATATAAATTTTTATATTTTTTTGTAAATACTTATTTTATATTTATAAAAGTTATCTTAATTTTTATATATTTTTTAAAATTTAGAATTTACTTTCAAAAGTTATAATTTTTAAATTTATGGTTATTAATATATATTAATTATTAAAATTTAATTAAATTGATACTATATAATAAAATAATTTTTTAAAATAATTTTATTTTATTAAATTTTTATCATTTTGATACATGTTATTCATAATTACAGCGTTAAATTAAATAATTTTAAAAAGCTTATGGCTTAAAATAATTTTATTATATATATATATTTAATAAATATAAAATTTTCAATTATTAAATTATACATAAATTTATTTCAAAATATAATACCTGTAAACTAGTGATAAAAGAAATATCAAAGAAGGTGTGGGTTTTCTTATTAAACACATGGATATGCCACACGGCTGATGAGGTCTCCCACAGAAGGAATCCGAGATGGGCACGGCATACCCCTAACCAACCCTCACAAGGGACCCTCCATTCACATGGGTGTGCTACCTCAAAATCAACGCTCCTGATTGGGCTCAGAAAGCGCATCTTGGCCGTCCAAAAGAGACCAAAGGGTGGGTGAGTGGGTCCCACCATTGTCCTCCAAATGGGGGGACATGTTCCTTCGAAGCTGCTGCCGCTGCCACCAACACCTTAACCTGTCTTTGTCCATAATTTATGCATTGAATTTAAAACAATGCCAATGCCCTCTCGCAGCTGCCACCTTCTTTATTTCAACTTTTCCTATAAAACATAACCTTCCTTTCCTAACTTTCCCAAAAACGCACCACATTTCCTCTTTTAACATCTCAGCACGAATATTTTTAGCTCTGCAACCCTTAACCCTCGTCACATTATATTCTCCAACAAAAACTGTTTGTAAGAGGGGCTTGCAATTTGCATAAAGGTTTACATTTTTTTGGCTGCTTGGGAAAGTCTGATCAAAGGGAAAGATGGATAGCACAGTGGCATATGAGAACGATCTGAACCTGAAGGCAACAGAACTTAGGTTGGGGTTGCCAGGTACAGAGGAAAAGGAGGAGAAAACCGTGCCTGGTTTTAGAAACAATAAAAGGCTATTGCGGGAAACTTCTCAAGAGTCTGTTTCCATTTCCAATGCCTCCCATGACCAACATGTCCAGAGTGGTGCAGCCCCTCCTGCCAAGTAAGTTTACATCATCACACAACCAAACATACTATGTAGCTTTTAGTAATCTTTTATGATGTTTTTGGGATGTGAGTTTTGGGCTAATGGGTAGAAGGGATTGTTGATGTGGCAGGGCAAAGATAGTGGGGTGGCCACCAATCAGATCGTACAGGAAGAACAGCGTTCAAGAGGGTGAGGGAGATGGGATCTATGTGAAAGTGAGCATGGATGGAGCCCCTTACCTCAGAAAGATTGACTTGAAGCTCTATAGAGGCTATCCTCAACTACTCAAGGCTTTAGAAACCATGTTCAAGTTGACCATAGGTGAGAGGAAATTAATATGCTTTTCGTGAATCAAACTAGTTAGCTTGTATTTCAATTTTAATTAATTAACCTGATTTGGGTTGTTATTTCAGGTGAGTACTCTGAAAGAGAGGGTTACAAGGGTTCTGAATATGCACCTACCTATGAAGACAAAGACGGTGACTGGATGCTGGTTGGAGATGTTCCATGGGAGTAAGTTCTCTTTTTCTTTCTGTGTTTTCTCTCTTAGCAATATATATTCTCAAATCTCAACCTTAACAGAACTTGCTTTTCTTGTGCAGCATGTTTATGACTTCCTGCAAAAGGCTAAGAATAATGAAAGGCTCAGAAGCTAGAGGACTGGGTTGTGTTGTATGAGAGACAACTCTTGTACTGTGGCTATGACGAGGAAAACCATTCTTTCAGCTTGGGTTCTTTGAACCAACATATTTTGAATCAGTGCATCCTATCACCATGTCTATCTGGAGTTAGACTATAAAGTAGGGAGAAGGAAGATTCTCTCTACAAGTTTTGTCAACATTTCTGGTTACTTTAGCATCTGTGATGGAGTGCTATATGCTGTTGTTTCTAATGAACCCTTTTTCAATCAGGAACCTCAGAAAGTTGCCTCCAATGAAGTTTTTCAACAAGAGAGTCAAAAGGGACTGATATGTTCATCCGATTTTTCTTTTTTTCTTTTTTGGGTTTTGTATCACATACAAAAATACAGTGTAATACCCCAAATATTCGTATGCCATACTTTGCAATTGAATGGACACAAAATTAACTAAGTGTGTTGTGTGCCGCATAAAGAATTTCTTATTCAATTACAATATATATTACTTTGAATATATATAAACAGATGAATAAGCTTATGGCCAAGGAAAGTCACACAGGTTGAAGCTCATCTGATGCGTCTCAGAAACTTTTGAAAATGTATTATTGTCAAAATTTGACATATTTGATTAATTATCATCAGAGATTATCACCGGGAAATGTTCTTTATAATCAACGGGTCTTCTCTTAACCAAATCCGACCACCACACTACACCTACATATCCTCCAATTGAGTTGCCCATCAAATGAAAGCCAAATTATTGTTATGCAAATGGAATTGCATTATCATGATGTAGAGGTTAGGGAATAAAATGGTTGGTAGTTGACAAAATAAACTTCAGAGACTTGATCAAATATTTGATGAAGAAATTAATAAAAAGAATATGAACAAAACAAAGCAAACAATATTCCATTATTTATTTAGGGGGAGGAGGGGGGTCAATTATAATAGACATGATGCTAGGAGGGTAGGGAAGAAAATGATGATTGGTAGGTATATGCAACTTATTAATATTAATTTATATTTGTTTTTTCCCCGGGAATCTTTATAGCGCGTACAGATCAGAAATTTGACTTGTAGTAATGAAGGATCATGAACAAGCATGGCAAACAATGCAGAAGACAAGATTTACACTAGATCGTGTTCGTATTGAAATAATGAAAAGCTGAGCCACTCCATTATTTATGTCTATAATAAGCAATAACTTCATTGATCAAAAAGCAAAAGTGCCATAGGTTTTTGTATGGTAAAGCGTCAGAATTTCTACGGTAATTGATGTGCATAGCAAAGTGCATGCACGCAGTCTGAACTCCAATTAAAATATACCCATAACAAGAGCTCTATTTTAACACACACGAGTCATTTTCCTTTGTATATTCTTTCGGTTTTCTGAGAGGTTGGATGGGCACTGTCCAGATTATTGATAATATAACTAAGCAATTGTAATATTCTAACAGCTAGAAATTGTATTCTCACTACGTTATTTTATGTTATATCTATATGAAATTTTTTGAGAAAAGATAAACTGTATATTAAATATGTTTATTTTTTCCCCCAAATTAAAATGATGTAAAGAAAATTGTTGTGAAAATAACAATGTCCAATATTCAATGACCTTACAATGATGTTCCTTAGCTGTGGATCCTTCACCTCCAAGTTTTGATCATGATTCATGGATAGCAACATTCAGTTATAAAGAACATTTTACTTTTAATTCCCACACATTTAAAATTTGTATAGAATATTTATTTTATACAAAAGAAAAACTTATGGATAAATTCTTTAAAGATTTAAATATTATTTTAGTTTATGTACAAAATGTGTTTTTTATTTGGTCTTCATATTAAAAAAAAAGGTTTATAAATTTATAAGTCTAACTAAAAAATAGTTTGAAATAATCTCTATTGATAACTTTTGTTATAATATCCTTATATCATGTTTAAATTTTTTTTGTTATAGTCATTTTATCCACAACACAATTTTAATCTTAGTCCTTATAAAAAACAAAAATTATAGTGATCAAAATAAAAAAAAAGTACATTACATGTAGAGATCATAATGAAAAATGTATTATGGGCAGAGACTAGAGAAAAAGTGTTATATAGGATAAAATAAAATGATAATTTACGATAGGTACAAAAGAGTGGTTCACTAACTTTACTCAATATAATTGTAGCTTAATGAAATTATGAATATTGTTAAGACAGAAGATGGTGTTGCTAGAGAGTTGGGTGAAAAAATGCTTTGTATTGTACTTTAGGTTTTTTAGAGCTTGTTTAGGAGATTGCTTGAAAATAAAATTTATATGTAGTATTTTAAATATTTTTGCTACTCTTCTTTAATAAAATTATTACTTTTTCTCAAAAATTAGTGTCAACTTTTAATACCAACTTTTATTATGTTAGTTATTGAACTAAAGTCTAATTTAGTTGGAGCACAGCACTAAAAGCTCCAAAAGCACATAAGTGGTTGTGTTTAAGTTTATTTTTTTAAAAAAACAAACAATTCATCATAATTTTGCTTAGATATTTGAAATAAATTTGATCCTATAAGATAAAGAAAGGAAACTAAAATAACTTTCACGCTCTCTTAAATTAAAAAAAAAAATAATGGCTTTCACAATTGAAAATCACTTCTCATTTTCTCCTCTTGATCTTCCATAATAATAATAATAATAATTTATTCAACTCCCAAACTTCATCTTCTCATAATAATCTTTATAATCATATTAAGTTGTAATAACCTTATTTAAAGTAAGCAAATCATCTTTAGTAATCTATAATAAATTATCATATTTTTTTTTAAATTTGTTTTAATGATGAATTTCATTTTAATATCTATATATGACACATTTTTTTATTTAAATCCCTGCACATAATTTTTTTTTCATTATTATCCTTATATATGTAACACATTTTTTATTTTGATCCCTCGGATTTGAATTTTTGTTATATAGGGAACTAAAATGAAAAATATGTTATACATAAGAAATATAACAAATCAAAATAAAAAATAGATAAAAATGAGATAACATAATTATAATGAAAGTTACAACATGAACTATTTTAACATTTTTGTCTTGCAAGACCTTATTTACAATTTCTTTTATAGACCAAATTGAAAATACAAATTTCATATAGAAATCAAAATAGTATTTAAGCTTTTTTTAATTTCATAACCAATATCTTAACATTTATTTGTAAATAAATACCAAAGTTTAGGTTCCTAAATAGGTCCCCGTTTTCCATGGAGAATGCATAACAGGTTTGTTTGATTATTTTTTCTTTCTTATTTTTAAAATTTATTTGTAAATTATTTTAAAATATCTTTTTGACAAAAAGACTGAAAAAAAAATGGAAGAAAAAAATGTTTTGTTGCTTGATTTTAAAATATATGGAAGATGGTTGTTACGTGAATAAGGTGGTAGTAAACAAGGTGATTACTCATGGTTGAGAAATGATACTTAAAATTTATTATAAATATGTAATTAGTAAACCGAGTTGTTTATAATTTTTTCACAATGTAAATAATAAATGGGTTTTGAAAACATTTTTAATTTGTTTTAGTTTCTATTTTTAAAGAAAATTTTTATTAGTTACTTTTAGAACTTCAAATTAAAATAACCTATATCAAACAAATTTAATTGTTTGCTACTTTTAAAAGCAATCTATCTATTAACTCAATTTTTATTCATCTGTATAGACAAAAGAAGGTATTTACAATTATTTATTTATCTATAATAAAATTTACAATTATTTTAATTTTTTCCTATTTTAATTTAGCTAAACATTTAAAATCTATTAATCAATTATTTATATTATTTAAATATTCTAAAAAATAATAAAAATTTATTTATCAAAGAAAAAATTTATAAATTTATAAAATTTTCTAACATAGTACTCTTTTATATACAATTTTTTAACATACACTTAAAATATTCAATAAGAGAGAAAAAAATAGAATAAAAATTATTTAATATTTAGATAAGTTGACGTAGAACAAACGCTCCACTTCCATGTGCTGCCAAAATTAGGAATGACACGTTTCACAGTTAGAGCTATTGTCGGAAAAAGTCTTGCACACAGGCAAATTTTTAAAAAATAAATTTTTTTATAAAATTTTATAATAAGTTAAGGGTACCTGTTTGTAAAAGATAAAATTTGAGGAGCATGTATACAAATGTAAAAGATAAATTTTGAGGAACAGAAAAAAAATTCATTAATTTGTTTATAATTTATTTTTTAATGAATTTTAATTTTTATTAATTTGATATTTAATTAATATTTTTATTTAAAAAAATGACTTAAGATTAAAAATAAAGTTATAAAAATAATATATATATATATATATATATATATATATATAATCTTTATACATTAGTATAAGTCTAAAAACTTTTATATTTAATTTGAAAATTTTATTTAACTTATATTTAACTGTCAGTAAAATAATAAATTATATTCCATTGAATGTAAATTAAATAAAATATTCAAATCGAGTATATAAATTATTAGAATTATACTGATGTGAGAAGATCCTACTTTATATATATATATTTTTAGTCACAAATACACATAAAGTTGAGGGGAGGGGTGCATAATTTTAATAAATTATTATTAATAATATAATTTTTTAATATTTTGCATCCTAATTGTATGTTTTTACACTTCTTGACCTTTAAGGTCTTGGATTCACCACTATATATACTAATATGAAAAGATTTTTTTTCATATATATATTGTTAATATCATATTTAAGAGACTTGAATTTGAGTCATTTAAACAATTGAGTCCAAGTGTGAAGTTATTTATTAGAAAGTTTATTTGAGTGAGTTAAGATTAAATAATTTATAAGTAGCTTAACAAATTTACACCCTAAAATTTAAGGTACAAGCAATAAGAATTTGTAATTACAAAAGAAATTGAAACAAAAGAAATGAAAGAGGTAGATTTTAGTATCAAATAATGATGAGCAAAAGTAACAAGATTACCTAAAATGGCCACCTCACAAAATGATAAAACGGTGTAAAACATTTTTTTGTTTTCAAATTTTCTAGAAACAATGGCTTTGTTTTTAAAAACTAAAAATAGAATTGACTCTTTTCTTTAAAAATGGAAATGAAAAACAATAAAATCAAACAATACTTGCAGATTTATTTAAAGGTATTGGGGTATTGTTTAGCTTCGTGACTCCAGATGGGAATCAAAATTGTTACGCTGAATGTCAAATAGAGTCTAATGGAAAAGGGAGTTTATGCTAGAAACACTGATGAAGAGTCAATAAAGATTTTTAGGCAAAACTTCTCTTAAGGTTAAAGATAATACTTAAGATTTTGGAGCCTCTCCTTTGTATAGACAAAGGTTGCCTCATGTTTCAGTTTTCAACCATCGTGCCTACGGTGGCTGAGCAACTGATATCCTGTAAGATAAGTTATCTAATGGGACTAGACTTAACGCAAAATTTTAGGTGGATAAGCTCTTCGTTAACAGAGATTATGGGTGCAATATTTTTAAATTTTTTGGTCTGCTGTTTTTAAATTAAAGTTAAATTTTTACTTTAATATATTGATTTTTAACATAATTTTTTATTGTATGAATTATTAAAATTAAACACCAATTTTAATTAAGATTTATCAAAACTACTAAAATAATCCTAGATACATTTCGAGCACTCAGTTTTTGCATCTTTAATATTTTATCCAACAGTAAATATAAAACTGCTCTTCCTATATATTAAAAGAAAAATCTAAAACATCCAAAAACTTTCGACACTATTAATTTTTGCATGTTTCACAAATGCTGCCGAAGGCATTCCAATATACGAAGTCCCAGTTTAAAGCTTAATTGCTGTCAATATGCAGTCCTATACAAAGATTAGCAATCAGCAAAAATTGGAACAACACAGTTCTAGGGCCTTTCTCTACTCAAACCATGCAACAGTAAATTTAACCAAAACCGTTTTATAAATCATACATAGTTACAAGACATGATTTTTTTTTTCTGGACTATAGTTGCAAGACACATGTGACTAATCAGTAATCACATACTTTATATATAATATACAGCCCAAAATTATTTTATCTCCCTTATTTTTTGGGCTCAGAAAAACCATACTTCATGAAGTACTACAGAGTGGGTGGTTTTCTGTTCTCTTTTTTGGTCTGAGTGGGGTTTTATTTCTCAAGACCAAAACCCAAAATCAGATGGGTCACCACTACAACCCAGCAGACTTACCTAGCCACTAGCCGAGGGGAACCAATCCCTTCATCTGAGATGTCAAAGCCCATGTCTTCACTTTTACTTAGTGCATAGACAATATCCATTATGCTGGGCCTCTTTGATGGGTCTCTAAGGAAACAAGCAATTGCAATGTTGAGAACACCCGTCAAACTTTCCATTGAGCAAGTCTCCCTTAAAATAGCCTTATCCAACCATTCCTTCAGTCTCCTAGCCTTCTCTTGCTCATTATCCACTTCAAAAGTTTTGATGGCACTTGCCCATAAGAGATTCCCTTCCTCATCAATAGCTTCCTTCCCAGAGATTAGTTCGAGCAACACAACCCCAAAAGAGAACACGTCCATCTTTGTTGAGATCACACCATCAGCTAGATATTCAGGGGCAATGTAGCCCTGTGTTCCTACAATGTGCATGGTAATGGCGTTCATTCCTGACTTTGCAAGCCCAAAATTGGCAATTTTGGCTCTCATGTTGGAGTCCAAGAGAATGTTGCTGCTCTTTATGTCTTTGTGCACCACTCGTGGCCTTGTGTGCTCGTGGATGTACTGGAGGCCATTGGCAATGTCAATGGCTATTCGCAGCCTCGTTTTCCAGTTCAGCTTCTCGCTTCTGTCCTCATGCAGCCATGAGTATAGGGATCCATTCTCCACATATTCATAGACTAGATAGCAATTTACTTCTTCTGGGTCTATGCAAAACCCCTCCAACTTCACCAGATTCCCATGGTTGACCTTCATCGCAGACAATGGCACATTGTTAATTAACTACTTAAGCATGATGGTTATATATAATCAATCAAGTGCTAAAATTAAATTATTAGAGTGTAGCATTATATTCTTGTTTTGATATTTTCTTTTATCAGGATGTACCTACCTCAACTTAACCTTCAAAGTTACTTCAAGAAGAAAAAAGATGAAGTCTCACAAAAAGTATTTTCATCATGTTCTTAAATGCCTACGTTTTAACATTATTATATTTATTTATTTTAAAATTAAATGAAATTAATTTTAAATCAATAAACGTAATTAAGATGTGTGTCAGTTGATTCATGCCGTCATCAAATGGAAACAGACAAAAGGAGCAGCGGCGTCTTTTGTCTTTTTTGTGCCTTTAAGTGCCCCTAACACCACCATATTCTATATTCATATTAACCAACCCTAATCTGAAAAATAAGACAAAGTTGGAAACATAATTCGTTGAACAACCAGAAGCAACGACGCCATCAACTAGTACTATCGTTTTATTCCTCTTGATGTGTTTCTAAAAATACAAGTACGAAATAATGAATAATGGATAACTACGAAATTAAATCCAGTCTGACAAAGCTTTTGAAATTACCAAATTACATGTCTGTTTTCCTTTTTCTCCTTGCACAATAACTTCAATAAGTGAAAGTTCTGAACACTAACCACACAATAATTAATTCTCATGTTGGGATGCTAAGATTTGGATTATTTGTTGGCCTAAGTAACATGGGAAATGTTAGAATAATTGTTTATATACAGGCATCTAGAGGTTTATTCCCTTGGTTTGATTATGCTAAAAACTAAACTAATGGTGGCGGGTTGACCACTCATCAGACAAGTCACTTCACTTACTCTGTCATCTGATTACTCATCATCAACAATAAGATATTAATTAACTACTAGTATATTTTATTCAAGCAAGGGCTTTCTCCTTATCAGTTCCTAACCTCTTGGACCGTTTCCAATTTCAATCTGTTATTGCATCTTTGATGTATCTTCCACTCTTTTTTAAGCTTCACACAGAAAAATGGCCAATCTTTCTTCTTACTTTTTCAGTTCTATTAACCTCGATCTATCAAGAGCTTGATTAAATAGCCATCGAAACAGAATTTTGAAAAATATTACATAAATACGAGACACTTTTTGTTATAAGTTAACCCAAAAAAAAAAAAAAGTAATTAGAATTTTTTTAAAAAAAAATAGACTTTTATCATTATATTATAAATGTCTTCAAATTTAAGCGAGTCTTACACTTTCAAGAGAGTTGCAAAGAGCTTCCAGAAAACTTATAAAAACATCTTATAATTACTATAAACTTTTTTAATTTAATTTTAATAAGCTTCTTTGAATAACTTAAGAAAATTTATTTTTAAAAAAATCTATAGTCAAAGTTATGACATAAATTTTTGTACAAAAAATGATTAAATAACACTCCCTGCCGCATGTTTAGTCATTTGAAATGAACGTTGGAGTGATTTTTTTACCTCATAACAAGAGTATCGTAAACAACGAATAACAAACCATCACTGCTCCAATCAGAGATAAAAAAAAAAAAATAGAGAATTTGACTAGAGTTGTTACCTTCTGTAAGATCTTGAGTTCCTCGTAGGCGTTCCACTTCATCTTCTTGATAGCAAAGACATCTCCATCAATGGAGCCTTTATACACCGACCCTTGAATCAAGCAACTCTCGTCAAACCCATCGGTGGCTTCCACCAACTCCTCAATCCCAAACACCCTATACTTGTCCAAACAATCTGAAACATTAGCCATCAACTTCGCTTCCATCTTCTTCCCCTCTCTCCCTCCCAAATACAAAAACTCCTCCTTCTCCTTCTTCCTTTGCTCCTCCTCATCCCAATGCCTCTCCTTCTTCAACACAACCTCCCTATAAACCCACACCCCACTCACCAAAATCAACAACAACCCCGCAACCCCCAACCCTATCGCCAACCCTCGCACAGTCCCTGTCCTATCATCAGAACCGTTTCCACTCACAGTTCCATTTCCCGGTGGCGGCGCAGAAGGAACCACCGTGGGCTGGGCCAGAACCGGCAAGCGGGTAACCGGAACAAAGATGGTGTCGTAATCATTCAGAGTCCGACCGTTGAGGTCAATTATGGACTGTTCATCGGAGCCAAACCTCGAAGCGATGAATGATAGGTTGTCAGAGGGTTGGACAACGTAGGAGATAATGTATTTTGACCTATTATTTGTGGGGCACTTACAGAAGACGGGGAAGATAACGTTGTCGCCGATGGAGAGGTTAGTGGCAAGGAGGGAGGGGTTAACGACTTCGACGGAGGGGTAGGTTGTGAGGTTCTGGAAACTGAAGGTGGAGACGAGGTAGAAGGTGTCGTTGGGTTTGATGGTGTAGGAGATGTTGGCGTAGGAGATGGAGCCGAAGGTGTTGTTGACGGGGTTGCAAGAGCAGGGTATGGGAACGAAGAGGGATTGTTCAGGGACTAAGGGGGAGGAAGGGGAGGAGATGTTGCTGGGCCTTGAAATCATGAGCCTGCTAACGCCGAAGAGGTCCGCTATCGCGGCCAGGTCCAGAAAGTTTGGGCCTCTGGCCCGGTAGAATGCGTAGGCCTCGCATTTGAAGCTTCCCCTGCAGCTGAACCCTGTGTTGTTCTGTTGCCTCGCCGTTTGAGCCTGTGTAGAAGGAAGCATGAATACAAGTAGAAGCCAGAGAACAGAGAAGAGATAAAGTTTCACCCTTCCCATTCTGCTGCTTCTCTTTCTTCACTCTCTGTTTCCCAATTTGCTCCTTTTCTTTTACATGTTTTTGCTGTTGTTGAGTGGAATTTCAAGTCCCGGGTGGGTTTCTGATCTGAGTCAAGGTGCCATTTCCATTCCCACTCTTCAAATCCCAGTAGTCAAGATGGTTGAATCTTCTAAGGGGATGGTGGGCCCCGTTTTAATGGAGGATTTTCAATTTTCTACAACTGCCTCCTGCGTACGCTTATGATAATATTGTTTAGAAATTTTAACTTATAAATCTGTTTTCTTTATTTTATTATATACTTCTCTTTTATCCATTCTATTCTCTTTCTTCATTGTAGAGTTTATTATGAAAATTTGTTATAAACATAACATGACAAGTGAGTTATTTTTATTTGATGAGCTCATGACATTTTTTATTTGGATTTCTTTATTCAATTAAAAGTCAGTCTACCACTGTCTGTCAATTGCTCTTTCACAATTTTAAATTCTCATTTTCAAAATTGAATAATGACTCTTTAATTAACATTGGACATAATTTAATACTTAACAATTATCATCCACTCCAGTTGCGCATTTGGATACAGTAAATAAATCTATTATTAAATTTATATATATATATATATATATATATATATATATATATAAAGACTCAAACTTTTATTGACAAAATTTTTTTTTCAACAAAACAATTTTTACTCTAATAAATTATTAATTTTTTGTAGCATCTCTAATTTAAAGTTAAATAGAGTTATTTTTAATCGTTAGTTATAATAATTTAAAATGCATTCATAAATTTATTTAAATATATAGTTTTTTTTATTGAAATATGCATTCTTTATTTAAAAGGGTTAAAGTTATTTTTTAACCATAAAATAAACAAGATCTTAATATATTTGCATTAAATTTAATAAAATATTTCTAATAATTAATATATTAATATAATATAAATAATTGATAATAGTCAATTTAATCTGATATTGGTTCATTATATATATAAATTATCATGTCAATTATGAAATAATTTAATAACTTTGATTCTATTTATAAAAAATAAATACTTAATTCATAAGATTAATAAAAAATTGTAATATGTTATTAATTTATATTCTATTTTAAAAATATTTATAATATTAAATAATTAAATTGGTGTGTTATATATTAAATCAAATGAATAAATACATTTTTATGAATAAAAGTGGATACTTTATTAACACAAATCATACACTAAATTGAAAATAATTTAGTAACTAGTTTATCTGAAAAAAATTATTTTCATATTTAAAATAAAAATATTAATAATTATTTGTTATAAATAAAGAAAGACTAATATTAAAAACACAAATAACTAGTCAAACTCAAAATTTCATGAAAACCTCTTCTTTTGAAAAAGCTAGAGTGTGAAGAAATGTGTACATGACTTGTTATTTTCTCTTTTCTTTACTCTTGCACCTTTGGCTGGCAAGGGCTGTGCAAAAAATTCAGATTTAATAATTCAATCCATAACCAAAATAAATTAAAAAATTTAGATTATTTTAAAAAATTAGACATCTAATTCAATTTTTTTTAGTTGGGATAAATTTTGAATCTCATTTAATAAAACCAGTTTTAATACTGAAAAATTATTTTTTATGCTGAACGATTCTCTCTAAGTTCCAGGATCAGAACCCTTATGTTATTTATGGTGATCAGTTCACTCGAAGGAAATAATAGGTCCTGTTCATTTTGTTAAGTTTTGTTGTATGTGATATCTACGTTTTCTCTTTTTGTATTATATATATAAATTTTATATACACATAAAATGTATTTTTATTAAATATATTTTAAAAATTATTTTATGATAAAATAAATTTTATATCTTATAATAATATTTTAATATATTAATTTGTAATAATATTATATAATGTTAATTTATATTAAATAAAATAAAAGCATAGAATTATATATATATATATATATATATATATATATATATAAATCTTGTTGTGTTAAAAAAGTATATTATTAAAATTAATTTTAAACTATATTTATATTTAAAAAAAATTTAATCTAATTTTAAAAAAAAATATAAATTGACTTAAAATTTAATCTATATAATTAAATTTAAAATAGATTTAAATTAAATTTATACAAATTTAATTCATGCTCACATGTGGGCATTATCACCACAAAACACAGATTTCATTTGCTAATACAGTTGGTCCAAGCACACAACAAAGCAACATAATTGATTGGCTTTGGGTGAAATTGTGAAGAGGTAACATGTGACGTCTCAAATGCAATAAAGGTCCAAGGAAACATGAGAATAATAATGTCCATTTGGAAGAAGTATCTTGACTGACTACCACCAAATAACAAGGTGGCACTCACATGAGAGTCACATCACAATTCAATGCATATTTACCTTTGGTTTTGAAATATGAACATTCATTTGGAATAATATGAGAGAGCATAAGGTAGAAGTGGAGGACCATAATGTTATTTTGTGACTTGGTCATACCTTTATTCCAATACTTCAGTAATTGTAACGCATTTAATCAGAGAATAAAAATCATTATGTGGCAATATCTACAATCCAGAGCGACCTTGACAAGTTGGTAATAAGTGATAACTGATAAGGATTGGAAATGTAAGGACAAAGTTGTATTTATTTAGTAAAATATACATTGCATAAGTGATGATTAGAAAAACCAATGGTTTAACAGTATAACAGTCTTTGAAATATGAATATGTAATACCAGACTTAATGGATAAGAACTTCCGCAGGTTGATAGGATCATAATTTTTATTAACAAAATTTTTTATTTGAGTAATTCTCAAATCAAACTGCAAAATCTTTGATACTAAAACCATCACCATGTTTAGATATTTTTCATATGGAAATGAGTGGGAGACTTATATGACCCCTCTTAAATAGTGAAAAAGTATTGAATTTGGATTTTGTTGATTTGTAACTGAAGGCATGTTAGTGGCTGAGATCGTATTTGTGATGATGGGATTTGTTGGAATTTGTAAAGTAAACCAAAGGATCCAGAAAGTTTTAGTACAAGTAAACTGCCTTATCTAACAATGCCTTAGGTTTTGTGCCTTGTTTTCCTTTTGCAGATTATGCTCTCTTTTTTGTACAGGTATACTTGTTTTAGACTCGAGATGTGTTTTAAAATGCTTTAATGGGGCATTCAATATCAAGTGTACATAGTAACACAAGTTTATATTTTATTTAAGAATTTATAACTTGTTTCTATAGTCAATTACGTTAGTAAAGCTGCTTAGTAAATAAAAAATAAAGAGAGATTATAGTTTTTAAAAGCTAACTTACAAAAATTACTTTAAGTACTATTTAATTTATCAGAAGTTAACCACCAATATTTTTTTTCTTGTTTTTACCTTTAACTTTTTAAATAATTTAGACATGAACAATAATTGTTATATTTCTCTTTTTTAGTCATTTAACTCATTTTTATTTAGTTGTACAATTAATTAATACAAAAGGTTGACACAGTGGTATAAGATCTCATTGCATTTATATATGTGTGGTGAATCTATTTAGCAGGAGGTGATGCATTCAAACTTCACCCAAGCAAGGATCAGTCTTGGGCTCTTTTGACTTATGGACAATATTGTTTATTACTTAGATTAAAAAAAACAAATAATAGTCCAATTCAATCAATAGTTATAAGCTATAAACTTTCACTAATTTTATTAAATAGATTCATCATTTTTATAACAAATCAAAACCCTTGTTTCACTTTCTTTCATCAAGGCTCAAATTTTTGGATCTTCTACACTGTTGACGAAAACTGCAGGAAGCACAGTGCGTTTTTGTTTAAGCAAAAAAATTCGCTTCAGCAAAATTTAACAAAACTTAATTTTGGTTTAAGCAAAAAATTTAGCTTAAGCGAATTTAGTTAAAAAGTGAATTTTCACTTAAGTTAAAATTATGAAAATTTTAAAACTTCATTTTCTTTCTCTTTAAACTGCATAAAAGTTGATAAACATTTGTGCAAGATCATGTGGTCACACTTTACGACTATACAACAAAAACTTAAATGTTTCAAAATATGTAATATCACAACTATTTCTCAACCAATTTCTTAAAGTTATCATTCCTATAATTCTTATTATCATTCTCAACAATTTAACTTGATTCTAAATGGTTCTACCTCACTAATATTTAGCACAAGTAGCACACTAGACAATACATTTAAAAATATTTGTACAAGATCATATGGTCACACTTTATGGTCATAATACAAAAAAGTGTTTCAAAATATGTAATATCAAAACTATTTTTCAGCTAATTTTTCAAAGTTATCATTCCTATAATCCTTATCATTATTTCAATAATTTAACTCGATTCTAAATAGTTCTACCTCACTAATGTTTAGCACAAATAGTACACTAGACAATATAATTAAAAACATTTGTGCAAGATCATATGGTCACACTTTATTATAGTCATAATACAAAAACTTAAGTGTTTTAAAACATGTAATAATGTAACTATTTCTCAACCAATTTCTAAAAGTTATCATTCTTATAATTCTTATTATAATTATCAACAATTTAACTTGATTTCAAATAGTTTTATAACACAAGTAGTACACTAGACAATACATTTAAAATATTTGGTTGGATAAACTATGTAAGAGTTTTTAGTAACTAGGTAGTCATTGGTGAGAAACAAATGTTTCTTGAATTTTCTGTAATTTAAAGAGGTAGAAGATGAAGTTTTAAAATTTTTCGTAATTTTAGCTCAAATAAATTTTTTAACTTAAGCAAAAATTCACTTTTTAACTAAATTCGCTTAAACTAAATTTTTGGCTTAAGCTAAAATCAAATTTTGTTAAATTTCGTCCTAAATCTTCTTGGAGTCACTATCATTAAGCCAAGAGAAATTGGATTATGAAATAAGAGAGAAAATCCAGTATTCCCTTCACACCACGTGGACTAGGTTGGAGATTTTTTTACTTGTAATCTAGCAAGTGTTCAGGGTGATTGAGATAATGCTCGTGACATTTGAAGCGTCTATAAAGATACGAAACCAAGCCAAATAATCCATAGTCTGTGAGCATAAATTTCAGGTAAGTTTCTACATTCTTCAATAGTTAATCGATAACCACTAGACTAGGTTGGCATACAGTAGTCATGACACGATGCTGACTAGTTCCAAACTTTCCAATATAGAGAGAATAAGATCGTCCATGTAAGATAATGAAATAATGGGAAGGCGAATTTCTAGATGTCTTCAACAACAGAACTGGTCAAGGCATCACTAACAGATGCCATGACATCATATAGCTTACTAGACCAGGAGTCTTTAGTCTTTACACAACTCTTGACTAGGGTGTTACATTCTTCTTGGAGCAGTTAATATTGGTCAATATGTGAGTAAAATATCATTCTTAGGTTTCTGTTTATTTAATGACAAATAAGAAGGTAGAAATAGGGAATATACACCTCTTGATCCAACATAAACAAAAAAGTTATAACAAAAGAACAACTTGAAAAGGGTGGCCTTGATACTCATTATATTCAAGGATTGTCATCAAGAGCCATGAACTTGTAACAATCATCTCTTGGTTATGTCATCCTTCTGGATAGTAGTATCCCATAGGTCCCCATATTTTTCATTGAATTCCCATATGCTCATGGTATTGTAGTCATTTAACAGTTTGTCTCGAGCTCCCCTCTCCATATTGTATATGTGAGGTTCAAAGTGGTGTGGTTTATCAGGTTTATCCATCTCAATAATGCAAAATACGATTGTAAATATGCCTGTTGCAATGAATAAGTACTCCCCCTGAAAGATAGATGGTGGTTAAATGAAAATGCACTGTTTATATCCAAACAAAATAGCCAATTGATTTGAAGATTGAGTCCTTCTTCATTGATGGCAATTAACATTCAGAATTACCGGAACATTGAAGTACACCCCAGCAACAATGGCTGGTGGGAAGAGCCATGAAATAAGCCCTGCATAAGAAATAAACGATAATCAAAATTGACAATTATAATAAAAAGTTCCAAATGATAAATGGTGTATGGAAAGCGCACCTTGGAATCCTGTGGGGGGTTCTGCTGCTGCTATCTCTTCCGCAATTGTACCCCAAAATGTTCCTGCAATGAATATTCATTATTAACTTTTGTCAAAATATCGATACACTAAATCAGTAACATTTTTCTTTTTCTCATAATTTCAAATACATAGCGGCAGAAGAGTTAGATTCTTTATGAATTTCACAAAATTGTATCAAATTTTACAGCTAAAAGTAGCAAACGCCAAGTAATAATTTCCAAAAACTTGAAAAAAATAAAATCTACGACAGGTTTATGAATATATATCTCAGTTAACAATAAGCATGATCTCTTCCAAATTCAATTAAAAAGACAATAGTGATAAAAAAATTTGAAAAGAAAGTTAAATTAAGAAAATTAGCATTAACGAACAAAAAATAAAAAAAACACCTTTCTCTTCTTGTCCTTCGAAGTAAGTGTGGTGGCCATCATATATTCCATACTCAAAATCATCCTGAAATTTACATGAAAGGAAGGAAAACCTTCAAAAGCAAAAAGACACAAAAAGAGAGAAGCAACACAAGTAAAAGCATAATGAGATACAGGGTCAACGCCATTAGTGGCATAATCTTCTCTATGATCTTCATTGAGGTCAGGCTCAATCTCATTAAAACCAGCATTCAACAAGAACCCCTTTGAGTTGTTGCTCTTGGATATGATGCCATGCCACTTGGGTGGTGTTGGAGATAAGAAGGGTTTGGAAGTGAGTTTGGGTTGAGAAGTGATGGGAGGGACAAGTGAGAGTGATGAACATAGCGCCATCTTTGGTTTGGTTGCTTCTCTATCTCACGCTGTTATCCGTTTTCTCATTTTATAACACTGTCCACACAAGATATTTTAATTTTAGAGCTTACATTGATTCAATTATCAACTTGTTGATTAATGGAATTATTTCATGATGTGAAAAAATAATTAGATTGAATTGCCAATAATCTATTTTAAATTTAGACTTCTTGTAAATTAACCCTTTAAAATCCACTTGCATGGCGATTCAGAATTATTTATGCTAAAATTAGAACTGATTTTAATGTAGCTTCAATAGTTTCTCCATGTTCGGAAGTATTTGTCTGAGAATAAAAAAACATACATAACAACGTTATGTTGATTAATTAAAATAAATTAAAATGACAAGCTACCTTAACTCATGATTTACTTGTTATCTATAAATAAATTACTAATTGTTATTTAAATTCACAAAATTGTCATTTTCTTTCGAGGCAAAAAAAAAAAGAAAGAAAAAAAAGAAAAAACAGACGTGAAGAAAAGAGAACTATTGGTCAAAGCCTTGAACTCTCAGCTGGCCCCCAACCCAGAGAACTAGAATCATTTTCTCTCTTCTCTTCAACCTTCAAGTTAGTTCAATTTCTTCCTTACTTGCATTCATTCACTAACTCAAACAATTCCCACTTACCAAACACAAATCCCAAGAAAGGTGCATACTTTCTGCTCATTACCCATTTGGAATTGAATACTGAAATTCTAATGCATTCGTTAAAACATCCATTCCACGTCTGATCGTCTTCCAATGCAATGTTTTAATTTATTTCTGCATCGTTTTATTCTTTTTCCTCTCCTACATTGTTTACCACCCTTTCACCACACTATTCATTCTCGTTCTTCCCTTTGTTGTTCCTTCTGCTTTCTTGGACTCATTAATCTTTTATATAGCAAGGTGTTGATTGCGCCATAGGCTAATATGCTTGCATTGAAAATTTTGTTATAAATAATAGAAACAAAATGTATTATCCTTTATATAGCAAGTAGCAAGTGAAGTGAATCGTCTTCCGTGATTTTGTTTCAGGCTTGGATATGCATAAGCAAACTGAGGATGACTATACTTACCTGTCTAACACACTTCAAGAGTTCAACAGTATTCCCAACATTGACAAGGCATGGATTTTTAAGTGTAAGCCTTCTTTATTGAATTCATTTACTTTATTTCTTTGTGATAGTTCAATTGCATTGCTAACCAAAATGATATTTGTTTTGTTTCTTCGTAGCACCTGGCTTGCAGATGCAGTTGCAGGGAATGTTTGCTGTTTCCCAACCGGATCTTTTAACAAACAAGAAGAGGATATCTGTCTTATCCTGTAACATTTTAAAAGAAAGTGAGAGTTCTGTGAGGTTTCTGTGGGCACCGTTTCCAATTGAGATGTTTGGTGTGTCTATGATTGTTCCATCACCTTCTGGCTCAAAACTCTTAGTGATTCGGGATCCTCCAGAGAATGGAGCTCCTTCTCACTTTGAGATTTGGAGTTCATCTCGAATGGAGAAGGAGTTCCATATCCCCCAATCACTGCATGGTTCAGTGTATAATGATGGATGGTAAGTGATGTATCATGTCCTTTTATACCATTCAATGCTAGAGGAGTGCTAAGGAACAAACATTTGTTAACATATTTTCATTTATTGGTTGAAAATTATTGAAAAATACAAAAGTATGAACGAGAATCACTAAATTAACAGCGAGACCCACATGATTTTTGTGATTTCCATCACACTCTTTTTAACACAATCCTAAACTGTTACTTTTGTTTATCTCATTAGTGGTTTGGTTTCAAATGTTCTTTGGTTTTTAACTGCAAAGTTAAAGCCACTGCTGAACTATTACTATAGTTTCTTTGACACTCATGTCATGCATTATAAAGTCATTCCTTTTTTCTATGGTTTAGGTTTGAGGGTGTCTCTTGGAACTTGGTTGAAACATGTATAGCATATGTAGCAGAAGAGCCCTCCCCTGCAAAGCCCACATTTAATGATTTTGGGGAACACAAGAAAGGTGGTTGTGCAGATAAGGACTTTGGTTGCTGGAAAGGTCAAGGGGATTGGGAAGATGACTGGGGAGAAACATATTCTGGAAAGAGACGGCCTGCACTTTTTGTTATCAACATCAACAGGTTTTTCATCTTTCATTTTAATGTCAGATGATATTTAGATATATATCTTTGATAGACACCTTATTTTAATTAGTATTTTCACAGTGGAGACATACAAGCTGTCAAAGGAATTGACAAGTCTTTGAGTGTCGGTCAAGTTGTGTGGGCTCCATATACCGAAGGCTTGGAACATTACCTTGTCTTTGTTGGGTGGTCATCCAAGCCAAGAAGGCTTGGTATTAAGTACTGCTCTAACAGGCCTTGTGCTTTATATGCTGTTAGAGCACCACATCATGAGTCAAAATCTAATGAACCAGAGCTCCAGTATGTCACTGATCTTCTCAACCCTCCTTGTTTTCATGCCTGCTATAAAGTATATATTTATTGCAATTTTTTTTTTTCTGAGATGAATTATTAAAGTAATTTTTTACATGTAGGTCAACTGAAGATTTATATGCACAGAACCTTACTCAAAGTGTAAGCAGTGCCTACTTTCCACGGTTCAGGTAACCTGGTGGAATTCTCCATTGTTTTCATATTCTTGAGGGTGACAAACATTTATGCATAATTTATAGTTTTTGATGTGCAACCCTTTGATTTTAAGATGTTGACATGAAAATAGAAAATGTTCCTAAAGATAAAGATGAGTAGTGGCTGGATTAAGGTTATTGTTATCCTGAATTATGTCAAGACAGCAGAATTTTTCCTAGCATTGGAAAACACGAAAAATATTTCTTGAAAGTTACTTGCCTTTATAATTGAAACAAACATAGGGTGCTACTGTTTTTTCTGTAAGGAAGGTACAAAATTGTGCTCCAGAAAACGATCTATCATTATTTCTTTTACCTGGGTGAGGTAAGTTGCCAAAGTGCTAAACCATCTTAATATCTTATGACTCCTGAGTTAATTTAATCACACAACTCTTGTTTTCTGTTTGAAGGTCATAAGATCCTTTATTAAACAGCAAATTCGTGTAGTGTTAGTCATGATTCATAATTGTTTCTTCAATTCTTCTGTTTCATTAGTCACAGCTGAAGAAGGAGCTCAATACATGCAGTTGACATAGTTTAACTGGTCAGAAAATCAGTGTGCATCTGTCTTCATTATTGTTGATTTGTTATTCATGTATTGGACCTATTTGAGCTTCTTCTCTAACACAACGATTCTAGATGGTTTCCCACATTTTACAGAAACAAAACACGTATCTTGGAGAAATCATATTCTTCCAGTTAGAAATTTTATATTATAGCATGGCTGATTGTGCCTTATTCTTGTAGAAATCATCAAGGTTTTGTTACTCTGCAGTCTGCATTTAATTTCATTTTGTTTTCTTTTATTATAACACTGTGTCTTCTTACTTTCTAGTGGCTGTTATTTTCTTATGTTGTATATGAACAAAATGATTTGTCTCGAGTTTATCAAATACTGGCACATGAAATTGTATTAGTTGTTGAGAAATATTGGTATATGAGTTGCATCCCTAAAACTCTGACCATTACAGATAAAATACACGTATCATATTCTTCCATTTAGAAATTTTATATTATAGCATGGCTGATTATGCCTTATTCTTGCAGAAATCATCGAAGTTTTGTTACTCTGTAGTCTGCATTTAATTTCATTTTGTTTTCTTCTATTATAACACTGTCTTCTTACTTTTTATTTTATGTCCTATATGAACAAAATGATTTGTCTCAAGTTAATCAAATACTGGCACATGAAGTTGTATTAGTTGTTGAGAAATATTGGTATATGAGTTGCATCCCTAAAACTCTGATCATTATTCATGAATTTTCCACCAGTCCAGATGGAAAGTTCCTTGTATTTTTATCTGCAAGAAGTGCTGTGGATTCTGGAGTGCACAATGCTACAAATTCACTTCATAGAATTGATTGGCCAACTGATGGAAAACTATACCAATCTTCCAAAATTTATGACATAGTAAGCTCTTCATATATGGCCAGTTTGATTTGAATGTATTTGGTTTAATTCCATTCTTTAATAATTTAGAGTAAACCTCTATTTGCTTTCTCATCTATTTCATTTATTAAGACACTGGATTCAATTATAGGACAAGGTATTGGATGCACATGCGGCCATGTAGTTTTTCATTTGTGAGATTTTTTATACTTGCAATAAGGAATTACTTCTGTAGGATAAAATTTAGAAGGTAAACATGTAATTAACTTGATAAATGGTTAGCTCTTCAGGGTTTGTTTTGTGATTTGCTTTAATTTGCTTCTTTTTTTTAAAACAAAACATGACCATGGTATTTGGTGCTGTAGTTAAGATTCTTTTACTTCATTCTCTCCCTCCTCTTCTTAGTGGAATCTTAACAGAAGCCAATTAATGCATATTGTTGTCAACTAATAAGTCTGGTGTTTTCAACCAATTTTGAAGATTCCTGTTGTGATGTGTGCTGAGGATGGTTGCTTCCCTGGGCTTTATTGTACAACTATCCATAATAATCCTTGGCTATCTGACAACAACACAATGATCATATCATCTATCTGGCACAGCAGTGAAGTTCTGCTCTCTGTGAATGTGTTGAGGTTAGAAAACAGCAGCAGGAATGCTTTCTTATCCATTTGTCTAACTCTAAGGCATTGTTTGGGAGGGTGGTTTTGCAGGGAAAGGGAGGGGAGGACATGTTTTTTAATTTTAAATTAAGAGACTTACATATTATTTATGATGATAAATGCATAATTAATACATTAATTTTATGTCAATATATCATTTTATATCTTTCATTTTGAAAAAATTAATTTATTTAAAATAGAAAATTTACTCTCCCCTTCCCTTCCCTCCAAAACCCCCTTTCCCAAACAACCCCTAAAGGTATTGTGTATTCTTAATGATCAACTGTTCTTTTCTTTTGTCACATTCTAGTGGGGAAGTGTTACATATCAACCCAGAAGACTCAAATTTCTCATGGAATCTTCTTATGCTGGATGGAAACAATATTGTTGCCAGTAAAAACAAATGCTCAATTTATCAATATTTTGGGGTTTTGAAGTTGAGGAACATGTTTTATCCTTTTTCTTTGTTGATTCTTTTGCAGTTTCCAGCAGTCCAGTTGATGTTCCTCAAATCAAGTATGGAATTTCAATTGAAAAGGCAAGAAGAAATACTACATGGAATTGGTCAAATATATCCAGTCCCATATTCAGATGCTCCAACAAGGTTCATTCTATTTTTCTGGGAGATATTAATTTGTTGTCTCAAAACTATACTATTCTATAAGTGTAGAAGTGAATCATTGGATTTTGGCTGCAGGTTAGATCTATGCTGTCCTCCCTTCAGTGCAGTATACTGAAGATCCCAGTCAAGGATGCTTGTGATGGTCAAACAAAAGGTTTTCATGTTACTCTGGTTTCTTACTCATTGATATTTAATATTAAGTTGAATGACTTAATGAAATTTCATATATGTTTTAATTTGTATAAAGAAATTCTCAGAATTTAATTGAGAAGGTATCTGATTACATTTTATGAAATTCCATCCATGAACTGCTCATCAATAATGAGGTGAATTAATCTGATTCATTTAATCAAAATCTATACATATAGCAATAAATTTACTTATTAATAATCATACTGATTCTGCACTCGACCCTCCCCAACATGCCCCCTCCTGAAAAGGAAAACGGACGAAGCTAGTTTTTGATTGGTGCACATAATGATAGTATTATGTATTATATCTAGCATAAAATATTGGGAAAGCTTGATTTTATAGTTAAAGAAACTAGTAAAGAGATGAAGAAGAACTATATGCATCATTTGTTACGTCACTATTGAAAGCATTTGACATGTTAAATTGATCATGATTGTCTTGTCATACAATGAGATCATTTGTTTAGTGTTCAGTACTTCTGGAACAAAACTAACACATTGTATAGTTATACCCTAGTCGATAAATCTTACTCAAATTTTTAGATCAGTCAACTGACTGTAATATCTATGCTTTTTATTTATTTTCAGGTGCTATTAAATCTTTTGAAGCTATATTTGTGTCATCTAAAATCAAGAACAAGGATGTATTTGATCCATTAATTGTGGTCCTTCATGGAGGTCCACATGATGTCTCTTTGTCATACTTTTCAAAGTCTGTGGCTTTTCTATCTTCTCTTGGATACAGCTTGCTGATTGTAAATTACAGGTAGCCAACATACACACTAGTTGGGCCAGTTGTTAAAATTAAGCTGGCAGAAGTTATTGATTTAACTCTTATACAAATGGATTGAAGTATTTCTTTTTATGAACAATAAACTTAATTGAAAGTAACTGTAAAGAGGTTTGCTTATATAACCTGTATATTACAACATTTCAATCCCTCAAAAAAGAAGCAAGCATACAGTAGAAAATGATATGAGACTGACAGAGGAAACAAAGAACATGACACTTTGCAATATGTCTACGGAGAGCTTAAATGAGAATGTTAGCTTATATAAAGTTTAAATATTATCCAGAGAAACAGCAATGAGAAACAAATGTGGAGACCAATCTATAGAAGCTACATCATGAATTTAGAAATTGAAAAGTTTTTCGACCTTGGATTTGTGGGTGACAGCATGTTTTGGATCTATTTGACTTCATAATGATAGAGAGGTTGAGGAGTTGAAAATGAAAAGCTGGTAATTATTTTTTTCCGTTGTGCTATAACGAGTCTGACTAGACACTTTGATCAACTTCTTGGACAAGAGTGTTTTATGCTCCATCTGCACCCCAATTATGTGGTTTAAAAGTTTATGATACTCAGACTGCTTTTCTTTTATCAATGAATGTCATTTTCAAAACCCCTTAAGAGAAACCCAATATGATCACAAATATCAGAAAGAATCTTTTATATATCAAAATATGGATGAAGAAATGTTTACTAATTGTCCATTTTATGGTTTCTTATATGTTATTATTTCTCAGAGGTTCGTTAGGATTTGGTGAGGAAGCATTACAATCTCTTCCAGGGAAAGTTGGGTCTCAGGTGCTAATTGCTTACTTCTAATTCTAAATATTTAGATTTGGTAATACTATTTGAGCAAACCATTAAAATTTATACTCTGGATTTTCTAGGTTGGATTTTGATTTTAGATTTTCATTTGTAGGATGTCAATGACGTTCTTTCTGCCATAGATCATGTCATCAACTTGGGTCTTGCTGGTCCATCTAAAATTACAGTGATGGGCATTTCACATGGTGGTTTTCTAACAACCCACTTGATTGGCCAGGTACAATAAATCCACTTGCTGTGACTTCTTTCTGACCTATCCATATATCGATATATGTTTTTCTAACTCTCACCTTCCTGCAATACCAATTTACTTAAACGTATCAGGTTTGCATTTACTTGTCATGCATGTCTTAATTGATTGTACTACTACTACTAACTGTTGTATGCCTTGCATCTGTTGTGATTCATAACATCTTTGAAGATGTCTTGTATTAGCTAGGAATATGGAAAGATACTCTTTATAAGGCTTAGACAGTCCTCTTCCCTTGAGCTAGATTTTGGGTGTGAATATGGTCTAGAGCCTATCCAGTCTTAATGTTGGGCCACTCACATGTGTCTAGCCTAACAAACTCCATAATCAAATTTCAATCATAAGCATGACTCCATGAGGGGGGTGTATTAAAATGTCCTATATTTGCTAAGAATAAGGCTAAAATACTCCTTATAAGACTTGGACAATTCTCTTGAATTTATGTTTGGATCAAACTCAATTGTACTAATTATACTTAGAAAGCTATGAAACCAGGTCAAGTGCACTAAGAATTTTTGTGGAATATAGTTGATTTTTTTACAATCAAGGGTGTCTCATTGTCAAATCTGTAGTAGACTCTGGTACTATCTTGAATTTAAGTTAGGCCTATAAGGTGAGGATTGTTTTAACCTTTATAAGCTTTACTTTTGTTATATCTTTAGTCAATGTGAAATCTCAACAACATTAGTTAAACTTTATTACTAATCTGACCACAATTTAGAGTTTAAAGGATTAAGAAAAACTTGTGTTATGTTCCTCAAAATTAGATATCATGACTAATATTGACAAAATAGGGGGAATTAAAAGGATAACATAACAATGTGTGGAGTATGATTATTTATAGGAACCTAATATATATGTGTATACTAAAGCAATTGCTATGGCTTACTAATGCGATCTACTTTCAGGATATGGGCAATTTTTCAAGTGAGACTCTGATTTTATGTATTTGTTTCTGTGTGGTGGATTTTCTTGATCATAGAATATTGTTTTGTGGCTTTCTAATTGCTGCAGGAACCAGACAAATTTATAGCAGCAGCTGCAATCAATCCTGTTTGTAACCTTGCGCTGATGATCGGTACTACTGATATCCCTGATTGGTGCTATGTAGAAGCTTTTGGAGCCATTGCCAGAAATTGGTTTTCTCAACCACTTTCAGCGGAAGATTTGGCTCTCTTTTATAGCAAATCTCCTATTTCACACATCTTAAAGGTCTTACATTGAGCTGTACACTTTTAGAACGAATTGACTTTGAATTGCACAATATTTGTAAGAGCTCTTAGAAAAAGCATATTGAAAGGGAAAAGAAATTGAACTTGATCAGTGAAAATCATAAAAATCCCTTCAAAAGTTGCAATATATAAAAGGTCTCAAGAATAAAGAGCATCTGAGCATTTCTATAAGTGATAACCCTGCAACCCTTCTTTCTCAATGTCTATCTGAGGGTTAATCTTTTGAGCTAACAACATGGACTATATTGTTTTTTCATTTGCATTGAAGTTTGAATTTCATCATCTTTTTTGTACTTTCTATTCTTTCTCTTGATTTTATATATTAAGTAGATTGCGTAGTATTCCTGTGGAGAAACTCTTAAGGAAAATTTAATTTTACCGAAGATAAATGCTGAGATTGTCACCTCAAACTTTTACTGAACAATGCAGATAGTGGAGTTCTTTGAAAAGTCATTTCAACCAATAAGATTTTGGCATGGAGTGGTCTACCTCTATTGATTACCCATAATAACTATTTTCATATAATAAAATTTCATGGTGATAGATAATAAGTCTATAATCAGTCTGAAGATTGACTAGTGACAAATATATCTTAGGATACTATATATGATTAGGGTATACCCTTCTGGATACAGTTGATTTCTGATATTATAGTTTGTATTTTTATAAATTCTGCAGGTAAAAACACCAACACTTTTCCTACTAGGTGCTGAAGATCTTCGCGTTCCAATTTTCGATGGATTGCAAGTAAGTACTTATGAGCTTTAAATATAGTCCGACTTTCACGAGATTACCGTGTTTATAGGTATTGTATGACGATAAAACTATCATTGTTTAAATGTCTAGTATTCTCGGGCTTTAAAGGAGAAAGGAGTAGAGGTCAAAATCATTATGTTTCCAAATGATGTTCATGCACTCAAAAGGTAGAGAAATCCTACGTATAATCAGTCTTCATTTTTAATTTTAATACAACCTGACTCGATTGTTTTATATTATATTTTTGCAGGCCACAATCTGACTTGGAATGCTTCCTTAACATTGGGATATGGTTCAACAAGTTCTGCAAATAAGGGGTAAGTGGGTCACAAGACTTCCTAAAGACCTAAACTCTTGAGTAATGGATAGAACCATTCAGGATTAACAGCCACTACCTACATCTATCGTAGTCAAAATAGGGATTGTTCTGTATTACCCTATATTCAACTAATCAACCTTTGAAACATGTTGGAAACAATGGTGTGAACATCATTTTCCTTTTTCTACTAATTTTGCTTATTCTCCTTTTTAATCCTTCTTTTGTGTGAGTGTGTGTGTGTATACACAAAAAAATAAAATAAAATTGTACGTTCTTAGCCCATAAATTAATCAAGTCAATCGCTCATTTTAGCCCAATTAAATTTATACACATGCAAAAAGTAAAATAAATCAAAATACAGACCCAAAAGAAGACAGAGAGTCATGACCTATAATGGTAATAGAGTAGTGTATGCTATCTTTCAATGGCACTTGAATCGTATTAATTTTACTGAGTAGTTAAATACTTTTTTTTGTCATAAAAGGGATTCTTTTGATAGTTAAAGTTATTTTTTTCTTAAATGTTTTTTAAATTTGCTAAAAATGAATAAATCCATGTGATGAATGGTCATGTAAAGAATAATAGATGTTATCTTTTAAGAAATTATTGAGTAATCATATGCTAAATTCAATCATGTATTATTTTCAAAATTGAAATCAAGATTTACTTCAAATTATTTTTCTAATATCTAATGACTTTGATTTTTTTCATTGAACAAGAAATATTAAGAGTGAAAGTTACTCTATGAAGCTAAAATTAAAATTTTCTTTTGCATATATTTTAAAAAGGATTAAGGAAATATTTATGGTTATTAATACAAAGTGATAATGGGGACCCTGCTTTAACGGCGACATTGTGGCTATGGATTAAGTTTTCACTACTTTTTAAGTGCATGTTGGCTTTCGAGCTTAACTTGATTTTCATATATTAATTTTTAAGGGTCTTAAAAATACTTTTTCAAACTTGAAGATAATTTCATTTCCTCTCTTTTTTATTAGTCTGTCTTTATTTTCAAAATCACCAAAGAAAATATATTTTTGTTTTGAAAATTTTGTTTATCATTTCACTGAGATTCCGAGGATGACAGTGATTCTTGCGTGTGAATGAAAAACCATTTTCATACTTTGGGCATTTAGCATGTTTGTAGTGAGAATTAGCTCAGGTGTGATTGCTAACCATTACCAGGGTTGTGGGTTTTCAGGTTGTAATAATATTGGTTGATGTTCTCTTGTCAATGAATTGCTCAACTGATGAGTTTCTGATCAAAATTGATGACAGAAAGGCACAACATATCACTGGAAGATGTCACACTCAATAGTAAACATGCAAATGAAACAACTTGAAGAGAGTAAAAACATATTGAATTGTTGTTAACTCAATCATGCAACCCGTCCATTTTGACAAGGATGAAATTATGCTTAATGGAAATCAAACATGTAGTGTTGTTGATAGATATAGGAATAACCACAATGAATACAAGTGTGTTAATGTTTATTAGGTAAACAAACACGACGACTTGCGTAAAAATACTTGAAATTGAGAACTTACAGGTGAGCAGGATTTACCATAAGTATTTCATAAAAATTCTGTTGAAAAGAATTTAGCGAAGTGATTAAAAGCACCAAATCGGAAAGGTCCAGCAAAATAAATGGAAATAAAGCATTTAAAATGTGTAAAGTTCGACAGACTAAAAGGTTTAATAAATTAAAAGTTTTATAGGCTAAAAGATTCTTATGAATAACATTAGGGTCATAATATATTTTCAAGATTAAATAAAACTAAAATCAACTTAAAATTTTAAAAAAATATTATTTTAATTTATTTATATATAATCAAATAAAAGTTTTTTCATAATAAAAAGACTATTTATTATAGTTTTTTTCATTAATATGTGATTCTTTATTGTTGTTCAATAATAGTAATACTTTTTATATACTATTCTATAAAATTTATATTTATAATTCTTACTTAAATTTAAAAAATATATTTATAATTCATGTGAAACTCGTTAAGATATTTTTTTATAAGCTTTTTAATTCTTGTACGCTATTATTTTTTACTTAATACTTTTTTATATAAAAAAATTGTTTTACATACTATTAAGTATCAATGTATGCATCATAGTAAAATGATTCATTTTTATTAATTACTATAATTAAATAAATTAATTTTATTAAATTATTTATATAAAAATACTAAAGTTAGTAAAATTATTCTTGAAGTAACTTTAAATTTATTATAACGATTAATTTATACACGCTTTGAAACGGGTATGAATTTTTCCTAATTGCTTTCTGACCGTTGTTGTGTTGAGCTTCCCCAATGTATGAATGCTCTCTATTAGTTGTTGCTTTGTTGATGGCCTTTCTTAGCGTCCATGACTGGCCCAGTGTGAGGAATGTCCACCGTTCCGATGCTTTATCGGCCTCTGCTAATTTGTCCATTTTCCTCTCTCTGTCAACAAGATTCAACACCATCCCTTTCTTAGCAAACTTTTTTATTCTTCACAGTAAAACTAAAGAGAAATGAAATGTAAAGAGCAATGTTGCAAACTTTTATCTACATTCTTCAATTGCGAAGTTAAATTTTAATTCTCATTATTATTTTATAAATTTTTCATACTTTATTTAATTATAATATATTATTTAATTACATTATAATTATAATATTTAATATAAAAAAATAAAATATGTATTTATGATATAATGACTAAATTTTGACTTAAACAAGTAAATAGTCTCAAAAGATATTAATTTTTTTCGAAAATAGTCCTTAAATTAGTTTTTTGAGTTTGGTTCTATAATTTTATTTTATTTTTTTGTTGTTAATTGAGAGCGTCAAGGGATGACTAACTAAACGGTGTTCCGCATACTCAGAATGTTTCCATTTGATAAGAAATTCCTTTTTTCTTTCTTGAAAGGTTGAGAGTAAAGAGACAAGTTGCGGAGCATGTGGTTTTGGCTCTGCAAAGCAAATTTTGTTTGAACTTGAATGAAAACTTAAGTTCTTACTTTTATTTGCAGTCTGCATACAAGAAAGACGACTTTTTTGACACAATTTCTTGTAACTCTATGACTCGTGGATTGAGGAATGGACAAAATCATTTATCTGAGAGAATGAAACTGGATACTGAGGTCTGCAAACACACTAAGAACTGAAATTGCTCTTACCTTACAATGTAATATTGATATTTCTCTGTTTCTGTTTCAGACATTTGGCAATTTCCAACAGAGGCCTAATGACGGGGTGGGAATTTCAGGGGCTCATATAATTGGGGAAGGAGTTATGACTATGGTGGAAGAGGGCGTGCTCCAAATTTTCGATGCTAACCAAAGCTCCCCCGCAAATTTTGCGATGATAACCTCAGATGTGGCAAACTTAATCAACTATTCCCTAAAATATATATTTTAAATTTTTGTTTTGCATTTACTCTGCCGTAAAATTTTAAAAATAAACTTTATTATTTTTCTTGGATCAACATTCTTGATTTTATTTAAGATTAAATAGTAAATACTCTATTGTTAAATATAATGATAAAAAGTTATTAAAACAAAATTAGAATTAATCAAACGTAAATATTTTAAAGTTTTCTCCTAAAAATACTTAACAGATTAGTATTATATAAGTTCAATTAGTAAAATACTTTATTGTTAAATGTAATGATAAAAAATTACTAAAACAAAATTAAAATAATCGACATGTAATGTTTCAAAAAATTTTAATTCTTTTGGTTTTATTATTATAGAAAAAGAGTTTATATTTTTATTGTTCAATAATATGATTAGAGTAAGTGTCTCAAATTGATGAAAAATAAAAATATGAGTCTAAGTAAGTCTTCTTAATTCACAATACTTCTTCTAATTATATCAAAAATTCTCTTTATAAAAATAATATTTTAATCTTAGATAATATAATCTCGTCAAATATTATTAAGAGAAAGATAAAATGTAAGATGTTACATAAATAAAAAATATTGATTCAAGATTTATAATAGAGTTTAATTAAAAAAATTATGAAACTAAAATCAAAATAAAAATTTAATAGAGACTAATTCTAAAAAAGTATATTTTGTAAAAACTAATTACTTATTTAAATTTTATCATATCTAAAGCTAGCAATCTACTTGACAAGTATGACATATAATACACTTTGTCTATCATTATTTGAGAATTTTCAGCAATGACTGTTTAAAAAAATAGAGAGAGATTCTTGCATAACCAAACCCAAAAAAATAATAATTAATAAGGACTATTTCTAAATGAAGATATATTTCATAGGACTATTTACTTATTTAAATCTTACATTTTTTATTACAATATAAACTATTTTATTATATATTTCTTTAAACATGATGTAAAATAATTTTTATTTAAATATTTATACAAGAAAAAAGATGATCGTTAAAATATTTTAAATATTTATTTTTTCATATATACTTAATCTATTTTTATATTATAATGTTTTTAAGATTAAATATTAAATAATGTATAAATATAAATATAATATATTATCAATATAAGTTTTAAATAATTATTATAAAAAGTAATATTTTATTTAATATGATAATATGTGATTAAATAATAACATAAAATAATTTATTATTTTAATAAATTTTAAATGAAATAAAAATTTATTAATTTAAAATATTTTAAAAAATCAATTAATAATAAAATGTATATTTTTATAAAAAATTGGAATAGAAGTAGACAATGTAGAAAAAAATTATATTAATATATAACAAAAATGTTATTTTAACTTTGAAAATAAGTCTTTACACTAAACACACAGTTTATTAGGGTGTTAACATGTGTTTTTTATTTTATATATAAAACAGTTTGAATAATTAAATACTAATATATAAAACACTTTACTACATTAGTATTATTTAAGCTATTTCATACGTAAAATAATTAAAAATATTAACAACTTAATATACTAATTTAATATTATTTAAACTATTTCATACATAAAATAATTAAAAATTATATTTTATGTAGATATTTTAGATATTAAAATAGCATATCTCGTGTATAAATGGTCGTAATGGATAATTAAAAAAAAATGGCATGGAGCAGGGTAGGCTTGAGCCTTTTCAGTGGCAGCATTTGGTGGCAACCACCCCCAACTCGATTCCCACGAAATTCTCTCCCTACTCCTAATTGTTTATCACCCTTTACGTCAACGCTCAACACACCAACGCCTTCTCTCTTTCTCTCGTTGCGTAGCTTATCTCTCTCTCTCACACACACACACACACTCTCATTTCCCAATCACACTGTTATTGACACTGTTATTCATTCCATCTTATTTCCAACCACGTAATCTGCAGCAGAAAGCTTTCACTCGTTTCAGCCATGGAGAAGGAGTTCCCGTTGGGATTGGATGAGGCGACGGAGCAACAATACGCACTTCACTCTAACTTACTTAAAGATTTCACCGCCATCTCCAACATCGACAAGGCATGGCTCTTTAAATCCCACGCCGGTAAGTGTTTCTAACTCCAACTAACTCTGTTATTCTTTTCTGACGCTGACGATGTTCACATTGCAGACGCAGCTTCTCAGGCAATGTTCTGCGTTAGTCAACCAAACCTTTTGGCCAACAAGAGAAGGAAATCCATTCTCTCTTCTACCGTTCTCAAACAAAACGACGGTTCCGTCACGTTTCAATGGTCACCGTTTCCGATCGAAACGTCTGGAGTCTCCGCAATGGTTCCTTCACCCTCGGCATCGAAGCTTCTCGTTATTCGAAACGCCGAGAGTGAAGGCCCTTGCTGCTTTGAAATTTGGAGCTCCTCTCACCTCGAAAAGGAGTTCCATATCCCCCAATCCAAGCACGGTTCGGTTTACATTGATGGATGGTAATTCATCATTGTTGTTTTACGCTACTCTATCTCAATCTGCTATTACTTCTTTTAGTGTTTATTTTCAAGTGTTTCGCCAATTTGTAACGGTTGCAGCCTCTGCACGCTGCACGATGTAATAGTAATAATATTACACTGACAGGGAGTTAATGTGTGTTTGGATTTGCTTGTGTCTTGAGAAAGAATTGTTTTATTCTTTGAAAGTTTAATCGGTATAAGCTAACTGAGTTAAACCCAACGTGCATTTAACACTCTGTTGTGACTTGTGAGTTGAAATTTATGAGCTGGAGTCTTGTTCTGTGATATTTTAGGTTTGAGGGGATCTCTTGGAGCAAGGATGAAACTCGAATAGCATATGTAGCTGAAGAGCCGTGCCCTGCGAAGCCCACATTCGATGATCTGGGGTGCTACAAGAAAAGTGGTTCTGCAGACAAGGATTGTGAAACCTGGAAAGGTCAAGGGGAATGGGAAGAGGACTGGGGAGAAACTTATGCGGGGAAGAGGCAGCCTGCGCTTTTTGTCATAAACATTGCTAGGTTTTGTGTTGTTTATTTCAAGTTGATAATGAATGGCATATTTTTAGAGAGAAAATGCTAATTGGAATAGGGGTTTTACAGTGGAGAGGTGCAAGCCGTCAAAGGAATTGACAAATCTTTGAGTGTTGGACAAGTTGTGTGGGCTCCATTGACTGAAGGTTCTGCACAACATTTGGTTTTTGTTGGATGGTCATATGAGACGAGAAAACTTGGTATCAAGTACTGCTATAACAGGCCCTGTGCATTATATGCTGTTAAAGCACCACATCATGAGTCGAAAGCTAATGATACTGAGATTCTGTTAGTCACTTCTGTTTTAATTTTCCTTTTGAAGCTGACTATTTTTTGTTAAGTTTGGTTGTGCTGAACTAAATTATGAAGGTGTGCTGATGTAGGTCAACTGAAGATGTTCAGGCAGTTAATCTGACTAAAAGCATAACTAGTGCTTTCTTTCCGCGATTCAGGTAAGCTGGTATTCACTTTCCTGATACTCTTCAGAGCCAGGCTTATTTTGTTTTAGCTCTGTTTGTTTCTTATGCTGGAGCAACAAGGTTCCCCATCCCTCCCCCAAACACACACAAAAAACAAAGATACATAATTTTCTTTAGATTTCCAGTTTTTCGGGGTGGAATTAACTATAGGTTGATGACAAGATATAGGAAAGTAAGCAAATCATGACAGTTACCAGGTTCAGGTGAGTGATTTCTGTGGTTATCAATCTCCTGAATTGAGGATGAGGTGAACAGTGGGGTTGCTAAAATAGAATGAAAAACTTTTCCGGAAAATTATTTTCATTTTACCAAGTTGTTTTCTTTTTATCTTTATTAAAAAGGCTTTATACACTATTATGGTTTATGCTAATATTTAGGGAATGTGAAAATAATCTTAGGGATGATACTTCTTGAAACAAACATAGATTCTTCATTATCAATTTTTCCTCAGTAAGGTTTGAAAGAAATTATGCTGATTGCAAGCTATCTGAAATCATTCCAAACTTTCTCTTGACAGTTACCTACATGTTATATGGCTATAAGTTTTAGTCACATGAAACTTTCTCATCCTTTCTAGAAACTAAAGTAATGAGTTATTAGCAATACGTATGTGAATTTGATTTCCACGATCTTGATTCCTATACATGAATTTTCTACCAGCCCAGATGGAAAGTTTCTTGTATTTTTATCTGCAAGAAGTTCAGTTGATTCTGGAGCTCATTCTGCAACAGATTCACTTCATAGAATTGATTGGCCTAAGGATACAAAGCTTTATCAATCTGTAAAAATTCATGATGTGGTTAGATTTTTTCTTTATTTCTTTTTACCAGTTTAACTTAAATCTTAATGATTGTTGTGAGCTTTATATCTATTGTTTCTCTTTTATTTGCCCATACTAGTAAAGATCATGAGCTTCTTCTCTATCATATGCTTAAGAACATGCCTTGGAAAATATAAAATGTTGACTATGATTTGATCTGTATGTTTATAGTTGTATATGTGATAATTATGTTTTTAAAATATGCTTTAGTTGTAAATGAAATGATAAAATGATTTCTAAAAGGGGGGATTATTCTGGTCGAAAATCTACACTGCCATCATAGTTTCACTTGAAAATTCTGTTCTGAGATAAATTCTTTTCTCTGTTATTATATTATAATTTACATGTATATATAGGAACATAATCCTAATATTTACATGATTGAATATGTCCTAATAATTAGAGAAAGAATGACAATAAATAGTAATAATGAGGATATATTCTCAAAAGTTTCTTCTTGGGACTACATGTTCTAACTGGATTTTCTATCTTCACTGAATGAACAAAATTTTTGTAAAGGATTTTCCGTGGCAAGTATACTCAAAACAGTAACTTAATTTTCTTTCTTGTTATTGTTTCTGAATCCTGGTTTCTATTTTCATAGAAGATATTGAATTGGATGTGTATCTTTGTCTCATATCTAGCATAAATTTCATGAGGCAGCTTGTACTGGCCTCTAGGAATTCTAGCTGTTAGCGATGTTTAAAAACCTAAATACTAGTTATCTAGGTAAGATCATTTCTTCGGCTTCTTGTATGGATGAAGCATCAAATCCCAACCTGTGAGCTCATTGCTACTTTTTCCTAACTACCTTTAACATGAATATGGAAATTTTCCTTTTGTTTTTATTCTTTAGATTACATGTATTTTTTTTTTCTCCCTCCTAAGCTTCCTACTAATATTATTTGTTTTTCTTCTGCATCAATTTTGTAAGATTCCAGTTGTATTGTGTGCTGAGGATGGAAGCTTCCCTGGGCTTTACTGCTCAAGTATCCTTAGTGATCCATGGCTTTCTGATGGCTACACTTTGATTATACCCTCTGTCTGGCACAGCAGTCAAGTTTTACTTTCCATCAATGTGTTGAGGTAACAGACAGTCAATGTTTTGTTTTTTGTTATGTTTGTGCAAATTTTTATGCTAATCGTTTTGATCAACTCTGCATTTTCATTAACTATAGTGGAGAAATATTACGTATCACCCCTGCTGACTCAAATTTCTCATGGAGTCTTCTTATGTTGGATGGGAACAATATTCTTGCTGGTACCAACCATTAGATGCTCAATTTTACTTTGACCTAGATTATTGGACTGAAGACACAAGTTATTTTATTCTAACTTGTTCAACCTTACGCAGTTTCTAGCAGTCCGGTAGATGTTCCTCAAATCAAGTATGGAGCCATTATTGAGAAGGCAGCTAATAATAAAGAATGGAGTTGGTCAGATGTATCAAATCCCATATTTAAATACTCTGACAAGGTTTTGTTAATTTTCCTTTTGGAATATTTGTATGGATCAGTTAAAAAGAAAATATAGTCCCACATAGTAAAATTTTACCGTTGGAATTTGGCTACAGGTTAGATCTTTGATCTCCTCTCTTACGTTTAGTGTAATGAAGATCTCAGTCAAGGATGCTTCTGAAAGCTTAACACAAGGTGTTTGCTTTATTTTGGGTCACTTGGCTAGATTAAATGCTCAAGATTTATCTTAATGTAGCTCTCATGTTCTGATTACTTATCACACATCCACGATTGCTTGAATAAACTTTTCATGGTATTATGTGATGCATGGTATCTATCTGTAATAGCTCTGCAAGACTGTAAAAATACCAATTAATCACTCAAGGAAGAAACCCCATAGAATAATTTCATTGAATATCCACATTTTAGTGCAAGGTTGTTAAACTCGAGAGTTTACAATAAGAAAACTTGTAAGAGTTTACTTCGTGCAAAAAAAAATCAAAATAGTTTTCAAAACATAATAACAAAGTTAAAAAATACAGGTAAGTTTGTAGATTGAATGTGGTCCTTTTCATCGCAAAAATTCACTGCTTTAGGAAGCTCTATTTTCACACAAACCATTCGAAGCTTAGAGGTTCTGCTTGTAGATCATCACTGCAGAATGTCACCGGCGCTGCTGCTCGAGGTTCTGCTTGCAGTTCACTTCGTTTGCAAACTTCATGGCTGCAGGAAGCTCTGTGTTCGCACAAACCAATCGAAGCTTGGAGGTTCTGCTTGCAGTTCAGTCGATGTCCCTGGCGGTGAAGGGGATGTGATCTGTTTGTTGGTTTGCGACGGAGGGTTGGACATGAGGGAGCTGTGGATTGTTTAGACCTGTACCCGAAAGGGTAACCCTGACAACAGTGTTCAAATGCTGCATTTTGGGCCTTTATGCTGACTTATAAACCTGGTGGTAGACGCACGAGTTTAACTGAGTTCAGCCAAAAATGAATTCAGTGTTCATCCAACTCATTTTTGCTTCCTGAGATCATACACTTGTATGATTTACAGAGTTAACACGTGATTTTAACAACCATGGTGTTAGAAACCAGATAATAGACTACAAAATTGTCTGAAAAGATCTGAGAATGATTATATTATTTGATGTAAAAGAAAGCACTACAGAAAGAAATACAACCCCACTGCCAGAGAGCGTAGCTCCTTCAGAGAGGCTACTGCACTCTTCATAACAGAAATTGTCTGTGAAAAACCAGCTACCTCTCTCTCTCCTACTCATCCCCTATATATCAAATCTTTATTCCTCACTGTTTGGCAATTCTGTTACAACTCTTGCTACCTCATCTTTTCTGTCCTTACCCTGGTTTCTCCTTACATACACTCTCCATACCTTGGGCCTTTCCTCATGGTCCAAGCCCACATTTTCACTCCTATCACATGGTGTAGTGCGGCATGAGGAATGTTATTCATTCTACTTTCCATTTCTACTACCCTCCATCAAAAGTAAAGGAAAGAGTTTCTGATTGTTGGATGAAGATAATAACAATATTAGGGACAATCAGTATAAAGGTACTAGAATTGAAATTTAAAAAAGCTAAATTATACGGTGGGAAAGAAAAAACCTAGTGGGATAAGGCTTAGTTGTTGTTGTATAAGGTGGGAAAAATTAGAAAATGAAGACAAGAAACTTGAGCAGGGTTAAGTGCAGCTGAATTTGCATTAATAAACACTTAAACAGTGAACATATAATTACTATATAGTTCTTGTGATATCATTATTGAAGTCATTTGATGAGCTGGATGATCTTGATCATACCTAATGCTATAAAACTGGTAGCAGAATTTTTTATTTTTATTTTTATTAAATCTAACAAAAAGTCAAAAAAATTATTTGCCTGCCCTTTCATTGTACAATATTAGGTTATACTCAAATTTTTGTTGAGTTTTTTCTTTTGGTTATCTCAACTTCAATTTCAGGTGCTAGTAAACCTTATGAAGCCATATTTGTGTCATCAAAAACAAAGAAAAGTGATGCATTTGATCCACTAATTGTTGTCCTTCATGGGGGACCACACTCAGTCTCATTGACAAGCTTTTCGAAGTCATTGGCTTATCTTTCTTCACTTGGATATAGCTTGTTGATTGTAAACTACAGGTAAATGTTATCCTCCTTGGTGCCCAAGCATTGGTCAAGGTCATATGCTTTAATTTCACAAATTTGATGCATTCCATCATATTCCTGTCTTACATAGTGTTTGATCAGGATATGGATTCTTCTTCTAGTGGTGATACTGATGCAGATCAGTGCAAAGAGATTTTTAGTGATTCTGAGCCTGCACCTCACATAACACACTGTACATGCATATCAAAGAACTAGCCATATCCTATAGACTTTGCATTACATCGTTAGTAATTGTTATTCATTCTTTTAGGTACTATAGTCCATATAATGGACCTGACTTTAGAGGGAGCTTTGGACTTTAAAAAGTAGTTAGCTCTATTTAATGGATAAGTTCAAAATTTGAAAAACATATTTGCTCTAGAACACCACAAAAGGATGAAGAAAGCAAAGACTTTTATTTGACTAAAGGTACAGAAGAATATAGTCATGGAGACCCAAAAGGAGACTAACATTCCATATCATTCAAGTTAACGGGGTCCTAAAGGAAATCTCCATAGGCATTTTCCTGCCAAAGAATTGTTCCTAGACATCAAATAACAAGGTGGCAATTGGCAAGAGCCAAAGCCTTGTCCTTTATAGGATTTGGAAATATTTGAAACATAATAATCCTTTGAAAATATAGGCAATCAAAGAACAAGAGAAAATAAATGAAGAATGAAATTGACGAGAGAGATCTAGGACCCTTTACAAAATATTTAGGCTAAGGAGACTTCACTTTTTTTAGTGTGTCAATGAATACAGTTTAAAGCTTAATTATTTGATCTTATTCTGTGAAATCTGAAAAATCCTAACTGTAACCTGGGACAGATGTAGAAATTGATATCTGGATGGTACTTGTTGGACTTTAGAGATCCAACTTGATGGTCAGATTTTGGCATTAGGTGAGTGGAAGAGCAGTCAGCTTAATGCTCATATGTCAATTTTGATATAAAATATTTTATAGTATAAACATTAAATCTCTGTCCAAAAGCATAATTCATGGTATGAAATTCACTGGTTTTTGTTTATGCCTTATAGGGTGCAGCCAAAAATTTGAAGCCTGTATTTTATTCATCATAGATCCTCAAAACTTTGCCTTTAGGGGCTCCTTTTGCTGATGTAACTTCAAGTCATTTATTAGCTTAGAGTAGTATGTGATTGTAAGTGACTTAAACTGATATATCTTGTAAATAATGAGTGATAAGTCAGATGTTTGGGTCAAAAGCCTAATTTTTCCAAATGATGTTCCATTATCCTCTCCTCAAAGTAATTATTATATTCAACATTTCATTTTCTTTGTTGTAGATCATTTATATAGCATAAGCCTTTTAAGCATCATATCCTCCTCTATAATATGGTGTGTAAGTGTGAATATTATAGGTTTGGGTCATAAAAATAATAAGAGTAGGAATGATACTCTGCATAGTGGTATTAGGTTGATGGTGTGATTCAACACCCTATCCTATTGCTTATATTTTGTACTAAAAATGTGGTTAAGTACTAGTTGTAGACTGGTAGTAGTGCAAGCCCAACAAGCTATCATGTATGCTATGTGCTTTTATGTAGAAAAGAATGATATTGCCAACACTTTTATGTGATAGACTGTATGATCCTACTGTGCATAAAGCCTCTTTAGATATATCCACTTATAGATAAAGAGATGTCTAGGATTACTGTACTAGGTCCATTTTCATGTTTCTTACATGATGTTACTTCTCAGAGGCTCATTAGGATTTGGTGAAGAAGCCTTACAATCTCTTCCAGGGAAAGTTGGATCTCAGGTACTTTGTGGTTTTCTTTTTTAATTTCTAAATTCTTTGGTTGATAGAGTTATTTGTTTGACAACAGCTCTCCTTGACAATCAAGTTCCAAAATTATTATCGTATTATGGCCTTGCTTTTTGAAGAGGTTGGATCTTGATCTTAGTTTGTTATTTGCAGGATGTCAATGATGTACTTGTTGCTATTGATCACGTCATTAACTTGGGACTTGCCAGTCCATCAAAGATTACGGTGTTCGGTGGCTCACATGGTGGCTTTCTGACAACCCACTTGATTGGCCAGGTGCAACAAGTCTACATACTGTTTCTTTTGAATTTTGCTACATATATTTTTCTTAAGAATTTCCTTATCTCATCATTTTTGCAAACTGTAACTAATTTATGGAAACAACTGAGCCTTGAATTTTTTGTGAAGTTAACTTTTAAAAGGGGTTTGGCACATAATTAGTTATGCTGAAGATTGGACAGTCATGAAACCAGTAGATTGTGATCACTGTTATCTATTTTTAGTAGCAAACTTTTTTCTTATTATTTAATTAATAATAATATTATTACAATGATGACAACAATGACATTAATAGTTATGATGTTGAAGATGGACATTGAAATAAGGGAGTTTGATGTTTAAACCATAATGTGTTAAGATGTCCCACCTTGGCTAAGAATATAGTGAGAATACTCCTTGTAAGATTTAGATAATCCTCCCTTGAGTTAGCTTTTAGGAAAAAGTTAAGTCTAGTTTGTTTATAATATTGTATTAGAGTCTAACTAGTATTAATGTTGAGTCTAACTTGCAAACTTCACACACTAGATGTTCACTTTTAGGCCTGTGGGTTTGTGTTTTAAAATGTCATACATTGGCTAAAAATATAGTCAATATTCTTTATAAGGCTTAGACAACCCTCCTTCCTTGAACATTTTGAAGAAACTAGGGTTATATTCTTCGCAATTTTGTTGAACTATTACAACAATTAGGGTTAATTAACAGTGTGGAACAACAAATGCAAGCACCTTAGAATTTAATTGTCATTAAAGTAACTTATCAATGGTATAAAAGAATTTAAGCAATTTTTTTTTTTTTTGACGTACCTATAATTTGATAGTATAAAAAAGGGACATATTGAAGTTTATATACAAACCTCACAAAGGTGTATACATATTAGCAATTAACTCATTTTGCATAATAAATATTCACTTTAACAGTGGTGTGAATTTGTCTACTTAAAGTTTGGCTTTTTCAATTCTTGTGTATTATCTGTCTGTCTGATTGCTGTAGGCACCAGAGAAATTTGTTGCTGCAGCTGCTAGAAATCCGGTTTGTAATCTTGCGCTGATGGTTGGTACGACTGATATCCCTGATTGGTGCTATGTGGAGACCTATGGAGCCAAGGGGAGAGATGAGTTTACTGAAGCACCTTCAGTAGAGGATCTAACTCTATTTTATAGCAAGTCTCCTATTTCACACCTCTCAAAGGTCTGTTCACCAAAATAAGGTTTTGAAATATTAAATTGGGTCAATTTTGCACGGCATTTTAAGCATGCTCCAAACAACTAGAAAATAACAATTGCATAAGAACTTATATTTTTAACAATAATCCAAGAAGCCTACAATTTCAACATCAAGGAATAGTTGAGGCTTAATATTTTGAGCAAATGCATTACCTATTTTAATTTTTCATTGGCATTGAAAGCTTTCTTGCTTGGAATTTATTTTAATTTTATTTCATTCATTTTCTCCTCTTATTCCTTTGAATTGCTTCATTACAGTTATATTATCCAGCGGACTGGTCTCTATGTTAAAACCTACTGTATAATATTTCATGCTGCTTGCTGTTAAATTTCTGCATTGCAGATTTATATTTTAATGATATCTGCAGGTAAAAACACCAACACTTCTTTTAGTTGGTGCCAAAGATCTCCGTGTTCCAATTTCGACTGGACTGCAAGTAAGTATTATGATTCACTCAATTTATGAGCTTCAACCAATAGCTGGAAACTCTTAGGTAATTGTCTTCTAAACTAGAACAGTATGATAGAGAAAACCATATTGTTTAAATCTGTAGTATGTTCGGGCTTTAAGGGAGAAAGGAGTTCCGGTTAAAGTCATTGTGTTTCCAAATGATGTTCATGGAATTGAAAGGTAAAAAAATATTACATAAACATCTCTCTTCCGTCTTAGCAGACTTGTAATTGATATTATAGTTTGGTTTAACTTTTTTGTGCAGGCCACAATCCGACTTTGAAAGTTTCCTGAACATTGGGATGTGGTTCAACAAGTATTGCAAATGAGCAGCATTTCCAGACCAGTGATTGAATCACGTGTATGTTAATGTAATTTTGGGTCATAGTGTATTTTACATTTGAAGAAGAAAGAGGAGCAGACTGTATTTTGCACTGCTATCTTTATTTTTATTAAGAAAATCATTCACTTAAGGTCATATTGTTGCTTTGAGTTATCAGGAGAGCAAGATACTGAACATATAATAAAAATTTCCATTACTGGTTGTATTAGACTTCTTTTTTTGTCAAAGAAAAGAGACTATCTTAAGAGGAAGTGAATAAACTAACCATTTGAGCTTTTCATCGTTGGTTATTATCTACCTTTATTATATATTTGTGAATCCTATTTTTTTTAAATTTAGGTATTTTATGAATTTACTATCTCATGTAATGTCACATCATTGATTTTAGTTTGAAATGTATTTTCTCTCTTCACTTATATTAAGAGTGCTATTTACTCTTCAAATGAGATTATGCAAGCGTGTTATCTTTTTTACATTTTATTACATGATAGTTTAATTTTCATTATGGAAATTTATCACGTTAATTTAATCATATTTAATTCAATAAAATATTTATTATTAACATTAAATTTTTACTATTTATAAAATTTATTAAATGTGAAAAGGTCATGCAATATACTTTTAAACTTTTATTCACGAAGATTATTTTAATAATAACCATGTAGCGGATAAAAATTCTCTAATATACAATTTATATATTATAGATTCTTGAAAATTGCAAAGAAAATAATATTCACATCTATTTATGTTAATTTCTTATAAAGAAAAATTATTCTATATTTATTCATGACAAAAAAGACTTTATTTTGATTATCATTTGAAATATTAGTAGTAAAATTATTATTAATTATTAATGACTTAATAAAATTACAAATTTGAGAATTATTTATACTTATTTATTTCAAGAGATAATAAAGTTAGTAATACATTAATTTGAACTAAAAATCTAGAAATTCTTTTTTACAACACTAGAATGTTATTAACTTGTGTAACTTTTCATTCGTGTAATCATTCATAAAATTTATTTGAAAGTAAATGATGGTGTTGTAATTCTGAAATATAAATAGTCTTTTTTAATTTGAAATAACAAATTTCAATAAGCAATTATTTAAAATTTTGGTGATTACATACAGTCTGATTTATAATCTGAAATTAAATAAAAAAAATTGTGCGTTCTCTTAATCTAGAGTTTTGAAGTCGAAAAATTAAAGATTTGATGTATAGAACAAAGAAGGCTTTCTTTGACAAAACTTCGAAGGAAAAGCACACGTACATTACCAAACAAATGTCCTATATGTATACTTTTTTTTAATTAATAATTGAATTTTCTTTGAATTCAATTTTGTTATGATTAAATATTATAAAAAAGGTTATCTATTTTGATACTAATATATAAATTTATAGAATGAATTCAACGTTCTCTCAAAAATTAAATTGTGAAAGTGATGCAAAATAACGGTACAAATAACAAAAAAAATATTGCAAAAGATAATTTTCTTCTAACAATTACCCAAGGCCCATAAAACTTTATACGTAAACGAGCCCATCTCTGCCCATTACAGAAAATAATAAAATGAAAAACAGATAAGAGAAAAGAAAATCAGAATCCGATTGGAAAGCGCAGTTTTGTTGGCGAATATTTTGTATGACTTGGGAGAGTGGGAAATGCTTGGGAAGCTTCATACCAATCTTTTGGGTTTCACCAACACACTTCTTCCTACTCCACTCGAAAACTCTGTATCCATTCCCAATAAAACCAGTCACGCGCTGCCTAACGAAACTCGAACAGAGAAACTGAATTCGGAGAAAAATGCTCATTCTGGGCTTCTAAAAAAGAGTGTCAATAACAGGCTCATTTTGCAGCGAAACAAGGTGCACTCCACGTGTTCGAAGAAATGCGTATCTTACGGTGGATGCATTCCTTCAATTCTGCATGCCTTGAACACGATTCAGGATTTGGATGAGGCTCTCACACCGTGGGAGGAGCGTCTTACGAACAAGGAAATCAGCATTGTTCTGAAGGCACAGGTTTCGTGGCGGAGAGCTTTGCAAATTTTCGAGCGGTTCAAGAATAAGGGTTGTTATGACTTGAACGTGATTCATTACAACATAATGCTTTGGATCCTTGGCAAAGAGCGTAAGTGGGGCCTCGTGGAGAGTTTGTGGAGTGAAATGAATGCAAAAGGGATTGCACCTGTGAATTCCACGTATGGAACCTTGATTCATGTTTATGGCAAAGGTGGACTTAAGGAAAAAGCACTTGCTTGGCTTCAAAGGATGCAAAGTCAAGGAATGGAACCTGACGAGGTCACCATGGGAATTGTTGTTCAATTGCACAAGAGGGCCCGCGAGTTCCGAAAAGCTGAAGAATTCTTTAGGAAATGGTCAAGAGGTGGTGAAGTTTCAAGATTAGGGATTAATATTCATAATGCAGTGGACAATGTTTGTTTAAGCTCTCGTACTTATAATACCTTGATTGACACGTATGGGAAGGCTGGTCAACTTCGAGCAGTATCTGAGACTTTTGCTAGGATGATCAAACAGGGTGTAGCCCTCACTACAGTGACGCTCAATACAATGATTCACTTGTATGGATTTCACGGACGACTGCGGGGAGTGAGTTTGCTGTTTGAGAAAATGGAAGAGTTTCAGTGCCTGCCCGACATACGGACGTATAACATCCTCATTGCTCTTTACATTAAACATAATAATATCAACTTAGCAGCTAAATATCTTGCAAAGATGAAAGAGGCCTGCCTTGAGCCAGACATTGTGAGTTACCGTACCCTCTTGAATGCATACTCGACGAGGAAAATGGTCCAAGAAGCAGAAGAGCTCATACAAGAGATGGACAAAAAGGGTCTTGTGATTGATGAGTTCATCCAATCTGCTTTGACTAGAATGTATGTAGAATCAGGCATGCTTGAGCAATCATGGTTGTGGTTTAGGCGGTTTCACCAAGTTGGGAATATTACTTCTGACTGTTATTCTGCCATCATTGATGCATATGGTGAACGAGGATACACTTCAGAAGCAGAGAAAGTCTTTCTTTGCTGCAAAGAAAAGAAGAAGCTCACTGTTCTTGTGTTTAATGTGATGATTAAAGCTTATGGGATCGGAAAGTGCTATGATAAAGCATGTGAATTGTTTGATTGTATGGAGAAATTCAGTGTGGTTGCAGACAAATGTAGCTACAGTTCTCTCATACATATTTTGGCCGGTGCTGACATGCCGTACATTGCAAAACCTTATCTTATAAAAATGCAGGAGGCAGGACTTGTGAGTGATTGCGTCCCATATTGTACTGTTATATCAAGCTTTGCAAAGTTAGGCCATTTGGAAATGGCAGAAGAATTATACAAGGAGATGATCGGATATGCTGTGCAGCCTGATGTCATTATTTACAGTGTTTTGATCAATGCTTTTTCTGATGTTGGAAGTGTTAAAGAAGCCATTAATTATGTTGATGAAATGAGAAAGGAAGGCTTTCCAGGGAATTCATCTATTTATAACACTTTGATAAAGTTGTATACTAAAGTAAGCTACCTGAAAGAAGCACAAGAAACATACAAGTTGCTTCAATCATCAGATGAAGGTCCTTCTGTATTTTCTTCTAATTGTATGATTGATCTTTATACTGAGCGACTTATGGTTGACCAAGCAAAAGAGATATTTGAGAGCTTGAAGAAGAAAGAAGTTGCAAATGAGTTTTCACATGCAATGATGTTATGCATGTATAAGAAAATTGGAAGATTGGATGAGGCCATTCAAATTGCAACACAGATGAGAAAACTAGGACTCTTGACTGATTTATTGAGTTATAATAATATTCTTGGCTTGTATTCTATGGATAGGAGGGTAAGGGAAGCTACAGAGACTTTCAAGGAGATGATAAAATCTGGCATTCAACCAGATGATTTTACATTCAGAGCTCTTGCACACATTTTGCTGAATTGTGGAGTTTCAAAGCAGGCTGTTGGTAGGCTAGAAGTAATGGTGAAGAGGGATTTTCCTCGTGGTTTGCAAGCATGGATGCTAGCACTCTTATGTGTTTTTGAAGGAGATCATTATGAAAAAAGGTAGATGTGGTTAATTATGGATGGAGCCTACATCAGGTAGAAAAACATGATTGGAGTTTACTTAGTCTGGCTTTCCTCTGGAGCTAGTTGTTTGCCTTTTTACTGGCTACATGGCTGAGGGAATGGTTGGAGCATTTCAATCATGGTATCTAGAATGACTGTTGGTAATTTCTATGATAATCTGTTATGGTATGGCTTGTTCGTTTGAATAGTTGTCCATAAAATGAAGCAAAACATTTGGGATATCAGAAATTGATGGTAAGATAAGTTGATATTAATTTTATATTCACCAGTACTGAACATTGCTCTTCAATTCTTAAAGATCGTTTTCTCCACCAGGATGTTTCCAATATTTGAAAGAGCCATGGTTTTACCTAATCATGACACTACAACCCTGGGATGGGAACAAGTTTTAACTCGTTCTGAGTACTCTTGAAGGTCAGTCAAATTGGATTGTTGAAATCTCTTTGGAACTACATGAGCTGCTTTCTCTCACCCCCCCCCCCCCCCGGGTCTTCCTCTTTTTGAGGACAGAAGTAATTTTGTATATACAAGGAATAAAACTTTTTGTAAAAATTATTTATGGAGCCAATGATCCTGCATGCTGCCGTCTTTGGTATCTGGAGAAGATGTGGTTTGAAGTAGAGGATTTTAATCTTGTAGCCCTCAATGGCCAGGTATATTTATCTTTATTACTTGAGAGCCAGAATGATTGTCAAAATGCTTGCTTTTAGTTATAGCTTGAACCATCTTTATTTTTTAGCTCCATTCTAGTGTCATTTGCAACTAAATAAATCCCTATCCTGGAAATTGTGTTATTTCATGTGCATAAAAGTCTTTATTCAACAAGTTTGTTTGGCAATTGTCGACGTGTCATACTTAAATATTCATGCAATTCAAACAGTCACTAACAGTTTGAATGTGAAGGCATTTTCTTTGTATTTCAGCCCATTTTATTAGGACTCAAACGGCAATGTATTCTGTTTAGTTCCTGAATCTTATACAAAGGCCAAGGCTTAGTTCTACATTTTTATTCCAATAAAAAGTTGGTAATTTTGCGTTCTATCTCTTGGGGAGGTTTCCTTTCAATTATGCCTTGTATTTATGACTTCTGTTTTTTCATTTTTTCCAGCATGGAGAAAAAATTATTGTTTAGCAACAGATCTAATGGAAAGTTGTACGAAGCTACTCGAGAAGTATGTTTGCATCCGCTTTTGATTTCGCCAATTATAAAATCTCAGTGGCTTGCTTCAGGTGATGATGATGCAAATTCACGTTTGATGGGGAACCTGTAAAATTTCACGAGTCTTACCGAATTCATATTGTAGAAGACCTTGCTTTTCGGCAAACACAAAATATTGTATTTGAAATTATGTTCCAGCTCGTATGTTACTACATGTCCGATAAGGCCTTAATAATATTGAAAACGGTGAAAAGCAGAAGAGAAGGGTGGGAAAGAGATGCGAAATTAGCGAATTTAAAATTCGTTTAAAGAATTTTGTCTAATTTTTTTTTGGTTATTTTTTATATTTTTGTTTAAGTATTTTTTTTATTTAAGTAAAAATAAAATTGAAAGATCATGTCTCGCTACAACTAAAGAGAATTCATATACCAATCTAGATGAGATGAAAAGGGAAAGAAGCTTTATATTAACTTTCTTTTCTTTTTTCTTTCTCACTCTTTTTCTTACCTTTTAAATATATTTCTTTTTCCTTTTCTTTTGAAACAACTAAACAAAACCTAAATATTTTAAGACTTTTTCTAATTTTTTGTAATATCTGTTATTGGAATCAATATTGCTAGTTGCATAATTAATTGCCCAATATAAGTGTTTTTCACGTGTAATTCATCATTTTGAGGGAAACCTTTTTTAAACCGAACTTCAATTGGTACATTAGAGTTTTTAAATAATATAAAATTTAAAATATTATTTAAATTTTACTTTTGTATTATAAAGTAAACTTTTAAATATATATAATCAAGTTTAACAATTATATTTTTTAATTTAATCAATAGTTGAATTGTTCAAATTCATGTATATTTAGTTTTTAGAAAGATTTTATTAATTTTGAAAAACTCCTTCAATTGAAGTTACTATTATAGGAATATTTAGTTTTAGAATCGTTTTTTATTTTTATTTATCAATAAATAATTAATAACATAATAATTAACAGGGAGACTATCACGTATTTAATAAGATAAATTAAAATATTTAAATTGCATAAATAAAAAAATTAAAATCATAAAATAATTTAAATAAAAGATTATTAAAAATATTATGACTAAAATATATTAAAATTTAGGCTGAGATATATTTTTATTTCTACATTTTAATAATTTTTAGTTTAATCTCTTTAAATATTGTTTAATTTTTATTTTAAAAAACTATAATTTTTAGTTACTCTCATTGATGTGATTAAACTAAAAAATAACATTTGACAATTTTTTAGTATATTAAACCAATAATAAAATTATAATTATAAAAATATAAACTAAAATAAAATTATTTAAAGGAATTAAAAAATTACTTAAACAACATTTAAGTCAACTTTCAACTTTTTTTATTTAGAAATAAGTTTTTCAGGACAAAATCAAGGATCTTTAAATTTTTTAATATGCAGTTATATATACACATCTGCATGTATATGTATAATTTATAGCCATTATTTAACAAGCATTATATTCCTTTAATTATTTATTTAGATTTAGAAAAAAAAATTCCTTTCAATTGGTATCATTTTGAGATAAAAGGAAAGAAAAATTTATATTTTTCTAAAACAATGAGACCGGATTGGAAATTATCATGTGTTTTAAATAATATATACATATTAATAATTTTTAAAAAATTAAGTATCTTATACAATTTTAAAAATAAATTTTCTATTTTAATATAAAGTAAAAATATTGAAGGATAATTTATTCACTTCCAAATATAGTAATTAAACATTTTAAATTTAAATAAATTATTTTAAAAATAATTTTTATTTGTATTTCTCAACACGTGAGTTAAGGAAACTTCACAACAAAACCCAGACCCGTATTAAAAAATCCCAAAAATATTGGAGTTCGGGTCATAGGCGGATTGGGCCCAAATATTCAACTGAGAAAGCAAAGTCACGGCCACGCGGGTAATTCAAAAAGCCAAATTTTTCTGTTCTTTTCTCTCAGCCGCTTTGTTGCGAACAGAGAGATCTCAAGCTAGATTTCTAGATGAAGGTTTTCCTCTTGAATCCTAATTTTGCTTTCTGCTTTGATTTCTTGCTTTTGCAACTGAATACACATACAACTTCTTTTGCACTTCAACATTGCAATGGGCAAGACAAATACAAGGTTTTTGCACTTCAACATTGTTGTTTCTGCTATTCAAACTCAACTTTCTAATTAATTTTTGCGAGTGCAGATCAGATTCAAAGTCCAGCCACAAGTTTGAAAAGAAGATCCAATTTTATTCAATTGAGTTTGAGGATTAATTTCTGTTGTCTGAGTATTATAATTTCAAGTAATTTCTTTTCTTATTTTTTTTTATACAAAGCAAAACAATTGAAGAAATACTTTGAGAAAATAGAAGGTCTTAACTGAGGTGCTAGGTTTATGTCAGGACTTGTGTCTGTTTTATTTGGGTGTGTATGATTATGAAGTTTTTACTGTAATTGGTGGATTGGTATAAGTTACATATCAATCTGTAATTTTAACTTTTTGCAATCCTCTCTGTTATTGCAGATGTGAAAGATGTTGTTTCTTCCTTGAGTGCCCAAAAGTCTATTGCTAAGGTGAGAATGTTAATTCAACAGTATTGTTCTTAAGATGGATTGGTTGAACTATCGAACCATTTTAGTAGGCCTATATTAGGTTTAAACTAATGGCTAATTAACTTGATTATGTTGAGTATTATAAATTGTTGATTTAAACTGTTATGTTTTTCATGAACATGATGAAGACTTCTAAGCTACTTTCTTCATCGTCACTTTTGTTGGGTTGGATTCCCAACTATGTGTCCAAAAAGTCCAAATTTTCAAGCTCATTTTCTACATTTAATTGAGGGAAGTGAGAAGTCAAAAGAGTGGGTGAGAGAAGTCTAAATTGGAGTATTTTTTTGCAGCCTAGTGTGTGTATTTTCGCAGAGAGACATCAAAAAGAAAGAAGGGGAAGTGAGAGAAGAAAGAAGCTCCTGACCAGTTACTTCATTCCTTCAATATTTGATTCGATCACCGTTGGATCAGGCTGAAACTTCTACAGCAGGTTCGTAACACGGTGCTCTTCGTTCTGCCCGTTTGGATTGTCGATTGGAGGTCTAAAGTTGGAGATATTTTCTTCGCACAGAAGCCTTGTTTTTGGTGACTCTGCACAGACTAGCCGCAGAGAAATCGTTATTTCTTCTTATTCAACCGTTGGATTGAGCTGAAACTTTGACAAAAGTTCCCAGACATATAATTCTTCGTTCTGACTGCTGGGATCATAGATTGGAGGTTTTGGCTGAGAAAAATCGTGTCTGAACAGCAGCCCTATTTTGTGAGATCTTCTCTCTTTGGTTAGGCTTTATTGCTTGGCTGTATTAGCTGGTTGTTTGCACGAATTTGTGCAGTATTTTGAGACTCTCTTGTAACCTCATTTGATTATAGTGAAGCTTGATTGACTGGCTTGAGCCCGTGGGTTTTTACTTCTCACATTGAGAAGGTTTTTCCACATAAATAATTCTCTGTGTCCTTGTGTTTGATGCTGCCATTTGTTATTGTTGTTGCTCCTCACAGGTTTTTGCAAGTTTGGGAAATTGTTTCCGCTGTTTACTTTAGATAATTGTGTTCTTGTGTTTAGTTTTCCCCAAAAGAGTTCTCCCCTTTCACAACTATGTGGAGGTGACCGCCAATCCGGCGATCTTACAACAGTACTTAAACTTCCTTCTTGGTAGTGCCTTAGTCATCATATCAGCACCATTATCATTAGTATGAACTTTAGCCAACTCCAACAGCTTAGCATCCAAAACATCACATATCCAATGATACCTTACATCAATATGTTTGGATCTAGAATGGAAAGTTGGATTCTTAACAAGATGGATAGCACTTTAATTGTCACAGAGCAACAAGTATTTGTCCTGCACAAAACCAAGCTCTTGCAAGAATTTCTTCGCCCATAGCAACTCTTTGCACGCTTCAGTAAATGCAATGAATTCTACCTATGTGGTAGACAATGCTACACACTTTTGCAGCCTTAACTGCCAAGCTATAACTCCCCCTGCAAATTTAATCATATAGCCTGAAGTAGACCTCCTGGAATCAATGTCTCCAGCCATATCTGAGTCTGAGTAACCTACCAAAGTAGGTTTATCACCTCCAAAACAAAACCTCAAACCACTAGTACCACGAAGATACCTCAAAATCCATTTCACAGCATTCCAATGCTCTCTACCTGGATTTAACAGAAATCTACTGACTGTACCAACAGCATATGTAATATCTGGTCTTGTACATACCATTGCATACATCAGACTACCCACTGCAGATGCATAAGGAACTCTGCTCATGTCTATTTTCTCAGCTTCATTTGAAGGACTTTGTTTAACACTCAGCTTAAAATGAGCCGCAAGAGGAGTGCTCACAGCTTTAGCATTTTTCATTTGGAATCTCTGTAACACCTTCTCAATGTAGTGCTCCTGTGATAGCCAAAGTTTCTTTTCTTTCCTATCACGAGTGATTCTTATACCAAGAATTTTTTAGCAGCTCCCATGTCTTTCATAGCAAATGACTCGCCTAGTTTCTTTTTTAACCTGTCAATCCTAGAAACATTTTTTCCAATAATAAGCATGTCATCAACATACAATAACAGGATAATGAAGTCATCATCAAGAAACTTCTGAACAAAGACACAATGGTCAGAAGTAGTCTTCTTGTAACCTTGATCAAGCATAAAGGACTCAAACTTCTTGTACCATTGTCTCGGAGCTTGCTTTAAACCATATAAACTCTTTCTCAACCTGCACACATAATCTTCCTTGTCTTTAATAAGAAAACCATCAGGTTGCTTTATATAGATCTCTTCCTCCAAATTACCATAAAGGAAAGCTGTCTTCATATCCATTTGTTCAACCTCCAAATCAAAAGTAGCAGCTAAACTTAGCACTGTTCTGATGGATGACATCTTCACCACAGGCGAGAAAATCTCATTAAAATCAACACTCTTTCTCTGTCTGAAACCTTTCACTACTAATCTGGCTTTGTACCTTGGAGATGTAGAATTACTGTCTTGTTTCACCTTGAAAATCCACTTGTTCTTTAAGGCCCTCTTGTCTTTAGGCAACTTCACCAAGTCATAAGTGTGATTATCATGCAAGGATTTCATCTTATCCTGCATTGCATCCAGCCACTTTTTCTTTTCTTCACTCTCAATAGCCTCTTCAAAACACTCAAGTTCTCCATCATCAGTCAACAACACATAATCTTTAAGATCATACCTTTTAGATGGTTGTTTCGGCCTGTTAGACCTTCTGGGTGGAACTAGTGGTTGTTCTGGTGCATCATCAAGATCATCATCATGTTCCCCTTGATCACCATCAATCAGAACTTCTAATCCATCTCGAACCTGCTGGTCATCAACATCACCATGTTGCTCTTCATTTTGAGAATTAGTCTCAGCATGATCTAGATTGTGAACAGGCAACCATATTGGATTACCATCAGTCATATTACTATCTTTCTTAGGTGTATTCTTTTCCACTTTGTCAATATCTTCAATGGTTTGATCTTCCATGAACTGTACATCACGGCTTCTAACAATCTTCTTCTCAATAGGATCATATACCTTGTAGTCAAATTCATCCTGACAATAACCAATAAAGATACATTGCCTTGTCTTCTCATCCAACTTGGATCTTTCATCCTTTGGAACATGAACATAGGCCTTGCAACCGAAGACACGCAAATGATCATAGCTCATATTCTTGTCAAACCAAATTTTGTCTGGCACCTCAGTCTTCAAAGCAACTGCAGGATTAAGATTAATAACATGCACTGCCGTAAGCAAAGCCTCACCCCATAAATGATTAGGCAACTTTACTTCAGAAAGCATACACCTAACTCTTTCAACCAAAGTCCTGTTCATCCTCTCAAAGCTTTAGTCTAATATAGTTTAGAATGTTTCTCCCCTCTGGCCACAATCAAGTTACCTTTGGTGAGTTTCCACTTTCCAGAACCAAAGTGACTGTCATAACCACAATCATCAAGCAAAGGCACAGATATCAGATTAAAACGAACATTAGGAGCATGTTTGACTCCTCTAAGTAATAACCGCACTCCCATGTTGGTTTGCAAGCAAACATCACCAACACCAATCACCTTAGACACACCATCATTACTCATTTTAACACTCCAAAATCACCAGAAGTGTAAGATGTGAAGAACTCCTTCCTTGGTGTAACATGCAGTGTAGCACTACTATCAACTATCCACATGCTCTCATCAGATACAAGATTAACAGACTCATAGTCACGAAGAAGAACAAGATCATCACCTCTAGTAGTAGTGACACGATCATCATCATCATGATCCTTCTCTTTCTGCTTGCCCTTCTTGCCTTTGTTCTCCTTTTTCCAAAGAAAACAGTTCTTTGGATGTGCCCTGTTTTGTGACAGTAATAGCACTACACATTCTTATATCTTGACTTGGACTTACTCTTGCTCTTTTCTCTACCACCCTTCAGTTCCTTTTTCTTGCTTCTCCCCCTATTTTCTGTGAAAAACACCTCGGACTGAGATGAAGAACCATGTGTCTTCCTTCTCATCTCTTCATTAAGAGCACCACTCTTTGCCATTTGCAAAGAAACAACACCATTAGGAGCTGATTTTGTAATTGAAACCCGAAATGTCTCCCAAGACTCAGGTAGAGTATTCAATAGCCAAAGTCCCAAAACCTCATCATCAAAGTTGATACCCATTCCAGACAATTGATTTAGAAGCCCTTGAAATTCATTCAAGTGATCTGAAATGGAAGAACTTTCCCTGTACCTCAAATTCATCAGACAATTTAACAAATACAATTTATTGTTCCCTGACTTAGAAGCATACAAGGACTCAATCTTCTCCCACAAAGTTCTAGCATGTGTCTCATTAGCAATGTGATTATATACATTGTCTTCTACAAATTGTCGAATAAAACCATATACCTGTTGATGTTCAAAAGTCCATTCTTCATCAGACATATTTTTCGGCTTCTGAGTAGTAAAAACTAGAAGATGTAATTTCTTCACAAATAACAAGTCTTTCATCTTGCCCTTCCACAAATGATAATTAGTACCATTCAAAGCTACCATTTTTGTATTTTCCTCCATCATTCAAGCAAGTCAAATAATCCCAAAACCAGAGCACAAAGAGATCTGATACCACTCTTTTGGGGAAAACCAAACACAAGAACACAATTTTCTAAAGTAAGCAACGGAAACAATTCCCCAAACTTGCAAGAACCTATGAGGAGCAACAACAATAACAAATGGCAGCATCAAACACAAGGACACAGAGAATTATTTACGTGGGAAAACTTTCTCAATGTGAGAAGTAAAAATCCACGGGCTGAAGCCAGTCAATCAAGCTCCACTATAATCAAATGAGGTTACAAGAGAGTCTCAAAATACTGCACAAATTTGTGCAAACAATCAGCTAATACAACCAAGCAATAAAGCCTAACCAAAGAGAGAAAATCTCACAAAATAGGGCTGCTGTTCAGACATGATTTCTCTCAGCCAAAACTTCCAATCGACGATCCCAGTGGTCAGAACGAAGAACTATAGTCTGGGAACTTCTGTCAAAGTTTCAGCTCAATCCAACAGTTGAATAAGGAGAAATAACGATTTCTCTACGACTGGTCTGTGCAGAGTCGCCAAAAATAAGGCTTCTGTCCGAAGACAATATCTCCAACTTCAGACCTCCAATAGACAATCCGAACGGTCACAACAAAGAGCACAATGTTACGAACCTGCTGTAAAAGTTTCAGCCTGATCCAACGGTGATCGAATCAGATATCGAAGGAATGAAGTAGCTGGTCAGGAGCTTCTTTCTTCTCTCACTTCCCCTTTTTTCTTTTTGATGTCTCTCTGCAAAAATACACACACTAGGCTGCGAAAAAAATACTCCAATCTAGACTTCTCTCACCCACTCTTCTTACTTCTCACTCCCCTCAATTAAGTGTAGAAAATGAGCTTGAAAATTTAGACATTTTGGACACATAGTTGGGAGTCCAACCCAACAACTTTTGCTACAGTCCCTGACAACTTTTCAAACAGGACAAGCATTCTGTCTCACTGAATATTCATGCATGCCCTAACCCCTGATGGTCATACCTGGACACTTATGTAATTTTTTGCTAGCAGAAATATTCCAAGTAGTTTTTTTGTTTCATTTTAAATAGCATGTATGTGCTTTGTAGAGTAATTGTTGATAAAATGTTGTTCATACAGTTGATGCATTAGTATAAGATAGTTTGGGATCCTGTGTATTGTTGAGTTGCTAGACTCTTGGTGGAATCAATACTAACTGAAGTTTTAAAATAGCATATGATAAGATGTTATATATTTTTTCCTCTTTGAAAGAAAACAAAAGTTTCAGGTTCCAAGGTTGTATTGAACTTGTGAATTATCTTGTGTGAGCTTTATTTTTAATATATTTATTGAATACGTAAATATTTGTAGACATATCTTTATTGATGATTGCTGCATTGTTGTACTGACCAATTTCAAGGGATAGATGCCCGCGTAATTTTATGCATACAACATGAGTGTTATTGGTTTTCTGAAGATGTCTTCTATTAGAAGAAGAGCAAACAACAGAGGCGGCAGAACAAATTGAAAGCATATAACTTATCTTCACTTTTAGAGTCCCTTCCTGAGTTGAAGGCATCGCGGAAACCAGGTCGCAACGATGACTTCAAATTGAATTGTAAATCTAGGCAAAAGCTAGTGTGAGTGCTTCCCATCATTATTCGTTATTGCATTGCCAACTTTTTGTTGTGTTACATTCTATTTGTAACCTTTGTCCATGTTCATCAGAATGAAGGAAGGAGATCAATTGTTTGCTGTTCTTAAGGATCTTAACTTTCAAGCAGATCCCCTGTCTGCCATTTATCAATGCCTACAAAACACACAGCTGATTGTTGAGGAACAACCCAAGAAAAAAGTGAACAAAAATGGATCCAAGAAGAAGAAATCGAAGGCCTCAACTGGACAACAGTCTATGGAAATGTAGTGTCTTTGTATGGTCGCTGTAATCATATGCGTTTTTCATTCTTTCCATAATTTTGTTGAACATTTTTTATCTTCCATTCAACCTCAACGGATCAATGTATTTAGGCTGGCAGTGTTTGATGTAAATTCTGAAGCTCACTGATTTCATCTTTTGAGATATAATTTTATCATTTTTTCTTGTATTATTTGTTTTGCTGAAAAGAATTGGCATTAAAGCCAGGAAGTTAAAAGTAATGACTCCTTAAATCATTGTGTGGCCCCACCTTTCCCTGTTGCCTTTATCAGGCCAATCTTTATTTTTGTGAAATGTTGTCCTAATTGCATTAATTGTGAACTAAGGAGGAATTTCACTTGATCTTGTGAAGAGTTTGCAATCGGCATAATGCATCACTCACCTAACAAAAATCGACACAGAATATATGTGCATGTTTGGGGGAGGAACTGTTATTGTTTGTGTCAACTGAGCAAAGAGGTTCTTGCAAAAGTGAGTGGAGGATTCCAATTGTGGGTCATGAGTCCTCGGGGAAGACAACCATTCTATGAAGTTAAAACTGGGGAAAATGATCAGAACCATACCAATTACTGTATCCATAATAATACCTTCCCTCCTTGTTGAAATACCTAATGTCTTCTAGGTCTCACTTTGAAATCCTGCGATAGTATATTATTCATGGCTATTGTCAAATGTAGGGCTGCAGTGCTTAAACTAGAACTAGTTAAAAGGCAGATGGAAAAGGACATTGGTTGTTGGAAGACGATTATCAAAATTTCTTCCTTTTTGGTCTCTTAGAATTTTTCTTTTTTAATTTCTGTCAATCTCTTGCTGCAGTATTGTTATAAATGTATTGGTCCTTAAAAGTTTATAGTTATTATTTAGAGATAGTTATAATTAATATATTTTATAAGATTATTACATTTTTAGTGCTCTCGTGCTCTTTTATGGCTGTGGCAATGCATATGAAGGATTCTCTCTCGATGTAATGAGACTGGCAGTCCAGTTTCAGTACTCGCCTAAACGAGAAAATAACAATTTTTTTTTATCTAAATTGGCTTAAGTAAAATTTTTTAGCTAATTTTGTGGCATCTAATTTTTTTTCTCTCTCCTCTTTCTACATGTTTAATTTTCCTTCTCTAACTTCCATATTCAATCATCCTCCTCCTTTTCTTATATCCAACTTTTCTTTTTTTCTTTCAACTCTTTTAAATTAACTTACAATTCCTTTTTAATCTAACATTTTAAATTTTTTTATTGATCAATAAATAAAATGAAAAAATAATTTATATTTTATTATTATAAATTTATTATTTATGATAGTTTTTATAAAATAATTTATTTTTAAATCAATAAAAAATATATTATTATTATTTTATAAATCATATAATTTTTAATTATTTTAAAAAATATTTCTATAAAAATATATAAACAAACTCACACAACATATTTAATAAATAACTTAATATATTATTTATTTCTAATATTTATCTTGACTCATAATTTTATTAAACTATCAAATAATTATAAAATATAGTTTTTAAAATTTTAAAATTACTAAATTATATACTGTTTAATTTAAATTAATTTATTTCTAAATGGATAAAAAGTATATTATGATTTTTCTTTAAAATAAAATTTTGAAATTAACTTTAAATAAAAAAATTTAAACAATTACCAGTAACTAATGATATATTCCCTCATTTGTCTTGTCAAACAAAAAATAAAATAAAATTACACTCATATCTAATTCCCAATAATAAGAAGCAAGCCACGATCAATATTATACAAGTCTTAAATATCCTGCTTTCGAGGACCTCCTAAGCTCCTCAAATGTGAATTTGAAATTCACCAACGTGTCTTTTTCATCAAATCGAAGATAAATGAACAAGAAAAATAGTTATAAAAAGAAAAAACACGAGTTTAGTATCACACAGGTGTAATGACAATTTTTTTTTAAATTATTATGAAAATATGTTTCTACATGTATTTTTTTCACTTCTTTCATGTTAATTTTTATTTATCCAAACAATACATGATTTGCATTATATTTCTTTCCCATTTCAATTAGTGTATTTCAACTATCTTCCAAGGAAATTAGTTGTTTTTTCAAATTTTTATCTATTTTGTTTCCACTGCACAACGGGCTCAGGTTCTGGAAAACCTTGGTTCTCATAAACTCACTTCTCTGGTCCCTCAGTTCTCCTCCCCTGCAAGATGAGTGAGAAGCAAGAGAACCAACTTCTTCCAACCTACAAGCTTTCCACTGAAGAGGTACTATTCTTACTACCTCTGCAAGTTTCATCAATATGATTCAACTTGTGTTTCCAAGTGATGATAGGTTTCTGTCATTTTCATGAAGGAAGCACAAAACCTGAATCTGGAAGAGTGTTTGAAACTGCTGAAAGGAGAGCGAGACGAACAGCGTCTCGCTGGGCTTCTTCTGGTCACCAAGTTCTGCAAAGCCAACGATCACTTTTCACTTCGTAGGGTTTATGATGCTGTTGGCCCTAACTTTCTTTATCGGTTACTCAGAACTGGTTGGTACTCACTTCCCCTTCCCCTTCCCTCTTCTATTTGTTTTCCTTACCTTATCTTTCTTTTACCAATCAGGTATGGGAAGCGGCACCAACGATCATCACGATGCATATTTAAGCCTATCCATCACAGTTCTTGCTGCATTTTGTCGCGTTCCAGAGATTGCTTCTTCGGAAGACATGGTTTCCAATATCCCACTTATATTGGAAGTAATGTCCACACAGTAATGACCCGTTCTTATTAAATTTATTTCATTCTTTTTGTTTTAAGGGAGTGCAATGCTTTTTTTCACTATAATTACAATTCTTGTTAAACCTCTTGTTTAGGTTTGGTTCATCCGTTCTAGAGGAATGCTATGAGTATTTATACTTGGTATTAACTGCTTCTGAACGTGGAATCCGGAGATTTTGTGAATCAGGAGGCATCAGGATACTAGCTTCTCAAATGTCTTCTCTTCAAGATGGTAAGATGTTGTTTTCTGTTGGTAATGGTTGCGTGCGACATTCTGCAAAATTACAGGCTCAGTGAAACTGTTGTCATTCAGTTAGTAAATTTTGATATTATCTGAGGAGCAATAAATGTGAGTGTGATGCAACTCACCTTATCAGATTTAGGAGAGAGGATGGCATGACTAACAGCCTAGTTGACAAGAATGCGAGGTTGAGGTAGGCTGGAATTTTGTATTGGAACCTTTGGAGGGTCTAGGCCTCTAGAATTGCCTAAGACATTTTCATCTTTTTCAGTTTTTGCACTTTGTTTCCATACCCAGGACCTGTGATCGTTTGATTCAGGTCTGTTACAGATAATACAATACATTTTCTTGTTTAATTTCATCTATAATTTTTCCTGTACCTACTGTAAAACTATATGAGCTCTGGAACTGCTATTGTCATTCTTCTTTCTGTCTTCCACCTGGATTCAAATATTTGTCTACAAACATTGGAATTGTGAAATTCTGCTCTTAATTCTTGTTGATGCATCACAATTCACAATAGTTGAACATCATGCAGGTTCGCATTTGATGGAAATGTCTTTTAAACTTTGGCAATTGATTCTGAGTAGGGTGTCGTTGAACATAATCCAGAATGATGACGTATCAGACATCTCAGTTATTGTAAGTGTACTTTTTAATATTTTTGTAAGAGTTAATTTGTTCTCATTTTGGTTTGGTAATCTTGCATCATGCTAGATAGACATCTATAATGTCTTTCATGAAGCAATATCTTTGACATGTCTCTCTTTAGGTGGCAGCAATAGCAAGGCAGTTTGCTGTCTTGCACAATTCCTTGAAATTTGAGGCTCTCCACCTACTTAATGTCATTCTTTCCTCAAAAGATTTGGTATGCAATATTGTCTTACTCTGTTTCTGATTGGCTAAGTTGTGAATTAGGCTGTTCTAATTTTTTATTAGCAAGTTATATTTCTAAATTCTAATCCTGTATTAGGAAATTATAAAGCAGTTATTTTTATATTAATTTTGAATTAGGCTGTTCTTTGTTATGATGTGACAGTATTAATGATATATAGTTTGTGACAGACTTGTAGAAGGCAATTAAGGTGTCTGATTGATATTCTCTTGTTTAGAAGGAGGAAACTGCTTGTTAGGAGGAAATGATGTGTTTGTTGATGTTTGTACTCAAATGTGGCCTAAACACCAGATTATTTCTATAATTTCCTCAGAATTCAACAATTTGTTCTTTGAGTCCAACAGTTTCTTTCAGTAACGGTCTCTAAGATGTATGGATATTCTAAAATGCTTGGTGATGAAATTAATCTGTGGCACAACTTTGGTAATTTTAGGGTTGTCTGTTCCCTGATATATATATATATATATATCCAGTTCCCACTGGATAAGAAAATAAAAGTTGTTCTACATATTTGAGTCATCTCTTTTCAGTGTAAGTCTGGCATTTGCCCATTAAAATGTTCTGCTCATAATGTGAAAATTTTCATATGATTTGTCTATTTTGGTTTGATGGTTCAAATTCCTTGTGAGATCAATGTGTCTAACCTACTATGTGAATAACCCATAAAGTTGCATAAATTGAACTGATTTATTTGGAATTTCTTTCATGACCTTCATGGCTTCAAGTCTTGATACCTTTGACATATCTATTTTCATATATGTACACATTGATTCGTTTGCCTGGCAATTGACTTCAAGTTCTTGACATTTTCAGTCCCAACTTCATGATGTCATCCGATTGCTTCCTCGAGATAACTGGTCACACAATATCCGCACTGGTATAGTGGCCATTTTGCAGAATCGTGTTGGTATGTTGAGACAATTTGCTTAATGATTTGCACTATGCTATTTTACTTTTTATTTCAGTTTTCTCTGTCCCTTGGTTAGGTTCTTTAAAGCTGTAGTTTTAGCATTTTCTAATTAGCTGATGAAATTATATACTTGTTTGATCTTGCATACAGAAAGGTTTAAGTCAGGTAATCAGCAGTGTTTTATAAGCAAGACTGTGGTGGTAATTCAAAATATGTTTTCTTAGCATATAAAAAAGAAACTTGGGGTTATTGTCGGAGGGCTGATATAGAGAGAGAGAAGAAAAGGATAAACTGGTGTTTAGGGAAAGGAGGTTAATACTATTCAGATAAATTCTAACATTCTATAAGCAAGCACAGTTGTTGAAGAAAATTTTGAGAATTTAGATGAGGTGGTGTTGAGATAAACAAAGGTGAAGATATGTAGTCATGTAGTTTAAACCTAAAGATGGTGCAAGAGTGAACAATAGGCTTTGCATTTTTGGAAGGAATGGACTGAGGGAGGAAACTGTTAAATTGCTTTTTTGTTTGGTTTAGGAAAAGATAATGATTTTAATGAGTATCATAGCTGGTCATGCTAGTATTGGATGAAGTAGCTATAAGCAAGGTAGTTGAAATCAAGATTGTATGTAGGATTGAAAAGGGGGTCAAAGATCGTAACTCGTAGGATTGTAACACGGATTGTAAGATCTTACAAAATTGTATATGCATATAAAATAGTATAAATAAGAAGGAAAAAAAAAAGAGACATTAAAGAAACTTAAACATAAAATCATAATCCATATTCAATAAAGTCATACATAACTCATAAAACATGAAACAACTTAAATGAACTTCAAACCAAGTACAAAATATTCAATATTTCTAACACTCAAACATGAGTCTAAAATTTAGATATCTAAAATACTTCGATAGAGAAAAAAAGAAGTCATAATCAATTTTATCTTCATTTGGTTCATCATTTTCTTCATCTTCATTTTCATTTAGAGGATCCTTATCCTCTAAATTGTCTCCGACCAAACTTTTATTGTTTTTGCCATCATTATTTTCAACAATCCACTCATTGTTAGATGAAATGTCATCTACATTTATTTCAAGATCCCCCATTTTTCTAGCTTTGTTCATTTTGGCCAATTTCGAATTAGCCATTATAAATATAACATAATTCATTGTATTTTGCTTCAAACAATTCCTTCTTTTAGTGTCTCACATGAATAAATACAAATACTATTGAATTATAATTCAGATAAAAATAGTTGGCTAGCATGTAATTTTGGAAAAGGGATCTCTACTTACCATCCCAAAAGAACTTCAATTACGTTCACATTCAGAGGCTGCATATTAAGATTAATATTCGAATAGCTAATTTTTGAAGCTCTGGAAAATCATCTCCATAAGACACCCACCAATTTGATGGTAGATGCATATCAATTGTCTTTCTAGCCAAGTGACTACCAAAATGACCATTTAATTTTCCGAATGAATCAAGTTGGACATAAATTTTACGTTGTTCATCTTCATTAGACATCATCCTTGTCAAACAATCATATGATCCATATTTAACTTCAAGATCAGCCTTGAATGTAGGATTATAGTGCATCTTAGGGTTAAGAAAATAGCTTGTAGCATACAAAGGCCTATGAAGCTATTTCTCATCTTATCTTTCATCTATGATATTTCATATAGGTACATAGCTCACAAAAAGAAAAGAAGAAAATAAATTAAATTAATTATCTATATGAATTAGACCACAGAATTTTAAATAATTTAATATTGACTTGATAGTTACCTTTTGTTAAGACCATTGAAAGTGGTTTGAATATTATCTTTAACTTGATCCATTGCCTCAAATAAAGCTCATAGTCTCCTCAAGTCCTCATTTCATCAACTATTCGAAGAACTTTGATAAGAGGCAATGCAATCTTTGAACAAGTTATAATATCCTTCTAAAACTCCTTATTCAAAACCAATTCTTTTATTGTTCTCCCATCTTTTGTCCTAGAAAACTTGGTGGACTTCCATTTATTAGGTGTGAACATTTGTATCAAAGTAGCTCTATTATCTGGAAGGCACCCTATAGTCAAGTAAGAGATGACAAAGTGAGTAATTCCTGGCTTCACCAAATCTTCATCTTTCGTAAAATGTTACAATAATGAAATAAGAGCAGTTCTTGAATAAATATAGGTTATAAGTTTTCTACCTTTTGGAATTGTCTCCTCATGTATAGTCCTTCTTAAAGTCATTCAACATTGAATCAATGCAATATGCTGCACAAGGGATCCAATACAAGTGTTTTTCTGCAGCAGCATTTCTCATGCAGCTTTGTAATTTCCTTAATTTTCTGCCTTATCAGTCACAACTTGAACCACATTTTTCTCATCAATCTCTTGAACAACATCATCAAACATCTTAAAGATTTTATCAGCTGTTTTTTCTATATAAGATGGATCAATAGACTTAAAAAATACTGTTTCTTTAGGACTATTTATCAAGAAGTTCGTCCACGCATCTAATACTATTTCATTCAGTTTTTTGTTCTTCCTTTCTTTTATTTCCACTACTAGTATCAAAATCCCCTCCCTCAATCTCCTGGACAGCAGTACTAGAGTTTGGTTTTTTTAATTTTTCTTGCATACTAACAACTAACTCTCACATTTCCTCCCTCACCTTCTTAGGAATAGAAAAAGCTCCCACATCTTTGGCTGTTTGTGCCAAGTGATGCTTCAACCAATATGCACCTCTGCTCACTATCTTTTGACAATATTTGCATTGGATTCTTAGACCCTCAATTGCAATCCCATGTTGCCATGCTAGATGCTACATCACTTTTGTTTGTTGGTGCATTTTTTGGTAATGGCATAGAAGGGACTTGACTAAAACCACCAACTTCAATTTCCTTTGAAGTTGAAGCCATTTTCTTGGAAGAAACAATACAACAGCAGCCAAACAACTCTCACAAGCACAACAGCAGCAAGTACCGAAGCAGAACAGAGTGTGCAGGACAGGCACACCCACAAAGTAGCAGAAGATGAACAAAAATGAGTACAGGAACAGAAAGAACAGAAACCTGAGACACTCAGCAGCAACAGCAAAACACTCGCAGGCTTGCAGCAGAATAGAGGGACCCGAACGAAATCATAGTGCAATATAGAGGGAAAATGAGTGATTTTTGATGCAGAATAGGTTGCCGGAGCAGAACAAGGTTGTCGTGTGTGGCCAGAATTGAATGAAATCTCAGTGGAAAACAAAAGCAAAACAAGTTTCTGAACAAGATAGGTCAATTTTAGGGTTTCAATACATTTTTATCAAACCAGGTCAGAAAACAGCTCGTGGGTCAGTGGGTAAAAAATTGGGTTTTTAAACATGGTGGGATCAACTGTGCCTTCCGATCCTACGATTCAGCATGGTGATCCCACATGAATTCACCATTTTCCGATTCCATTTTGAGCTAGCACGGTGACAGGGTTGAGGATCATAGAATTGTATGATTCTACGCATCAGCATGCGATTTTGACTTCAATAGCTATATGAAATAAGTCATACAAACTGAGTATAATTTTGATATTTTATGACAATAACTAGTTGTTTTGTTCTTCCCTGACAATGACACTGCACACAACATTATGGACTCACTCCTGTTCTCAAGTCTGGAAAGTTAGTTTCAAGGTGGTTTGTTTCAGGGAAAGGTTGTGAATGAAAGGGCACTTCCTTGCACTTTCACACAGATAATATGAAGTTTTAACTTTTTTTGGAACTAACAAGTGTCCTTATCTTAATCTACTGCATAATTTTTATTCATTTGCAGCTCCTGCTGAAAGGCTGCAGGCTCTCATTTTAGCTGAGTCTATGGTTTCCATGTATGGAGAAGATTGGTTGGTTAGCCATTTAAGCACAAATGATGCCCAAAATCCAGCTCCAGCTGACATGTAAGCTGTGCTTCTGTAATGTTAACCTTAAGTCATCTGCACTGTACATTCATTGCCTCATTTGCTCACCTCTTCCCATTTCAGGTGTCTATTGCTTGTCTTGGAGCAGTCGAGGGTTGAAATTGCTGTTCTTCTAAATGAGTTGGCCTATTTAAAATATGAAGCACCTCAGGATACTTCAGCTACTGCTGAGGCAATTTTTTCTAAGCGACGTAATGTGGCTGTTGCCTACTCTTTGGTTGAGAAGATAATAAAATTAATATCAACTGTTGATGGAAATGATGGTATATGCAAAGAAACTCAATTTTCCTGGCCTTTAAATTCTGTTATTCTAATTTTATGTAAAAAGTAATAATGTTGAATATGGATCCTCTGCTCAAATTCAATCAACTTGGCCTATAATTGTGATTATACTTTTGAAATTATAGGGATTTAGGGAAGGAAGAAAAGAAAGATAAAAGAGACTATATTTATGTGATATGATATTATGAAATATTTTCTAGATATTTTAATACATGCTGTATGCTGTTTCATATTTTGCGGAGCCACAAACAGCTATTTGAATATATTTTTAAAAGAAAGATAAATTTGGGCTGAGGGTTGTGTTCAGTTCTTTTATCTATTATCTGGGTGATGATTAATATCATTGGTTTTAGGTTGCCCAATGTTTTCAGTAGCTGTTATGGAAAATGTATGGGTGAGATTGAGAATATGAATACATGGCTTTTAATTATTTTTCAAGTGATACAATGGGATTTCTGCAGTTTTTAATTATGCTGGTTTGGTTGTCTATTCTCCTGTATACCGAATTACCAGTGTCAACCTGTGTGGATTCTACCTGGAATTTGGGATTTTATTTCTATTGCAATTTTGATACTGGTGTTGACACTGTTGTTGGAAACTTGTCTTTGTGGACAAGTTCTTGAGAATTTTGTATAATGCAAGTTCATCATTGTCTTTCCTTTATAGGAAATCTCCTTGATGAAGGGACATTGACAAAGCTGATTCTCCAACTTAATGAGACAATTGTTGTTGTACTAGAGTATTTAGAAGATGCAAAGGTATTGCTGATGATTAATTTCTTAGTGTAATTTCAACATTTACTATTGTTAAGGGTCATTGTTGGTATCAAGAGTTAGCATTAGGTTATTGAGATTATATGGGCTGGTTCGTAGTACTTTCTACTGCACTCTTTAACCTAGTAATATATATACACAGGGAGGCTGTGGTAAACACTACAGTTCATCCCATTGCTGTGTGATTCCCTCCTGCTCTCTTTACTCTGTTTACAAACATATGGTAACCAGGTATAATGGTGAAATTGTGCAGGAACATGGACAAAAGAAAGGGGATGATTTACTTGCTTCAGTGCGAATTATTGGGAGGTTTGGTGTTTTACTGTTTCTTCATTCACATTATTTGTACTTGTTTTGGCACTTGATGTATTAGTGCTAGGTGCTATGTTGACATTTAATCATTTCATTGAATGATTTATTTCTAATCATATGTGGAACACATTTTTCATTTATTTAGTGGCATTTGCAGTTGTTTGGAAGACTTAACAATGATAGACCATTTTCACATGTATATTATTCATGCTTTGACTAAACTTGTGTTATACAGTTGAAAATTCGTCTGAGGAAAGGAAGCACAAAAACTTATTTTCTAAAGGCTAATTTTAAATTGTGTAGAACATCATCAGTTAATCTAGATAGTTGTTTGGTCAATTTCATTCTCATCCTCCTAAGAAGAGGTACTTCTGTTCTAGGACCACATATTCTAGAAGTAGGTGCTTGAAGTGTACACCTTGGTAGCACATCAATGATTGGAGACTCATGAGTTATAAAAGGATTTATATCATTATTACTTTGAACAACTATTATTTTGTGACAGCATTCGTTATATTTGATGCATAGAATATGGTATGAGGGTTGGAACTTAGTTGAATTTTTTTTTTTTTTTGGCATGACTACTTTCTAAAATTTCCAAGTTCAAATTTAGAGAGGAAAAATTATGATCTTTATTTCATATATTTGTTTCAGCTATCTTGCAGAAGCACCCCTAGCATGCAATGAGAAGGTTCAAGATCTTTTAGGGTATATGCTTTCTGTTGAAGGTGAAGATGAACAAAGGTATATTTAAATAGATTTAACTGTAATTTTTTTTGTGTGTGAGGGGGACTAATTTGAAGTATGAATGGCTTTTGCTTAATTTAATTTAATGTTCCAGGCCCTTCTACTCGGTTTGTTTTCTGCTACCTATGTTGTCTCAAATTACGATGAAGATAGAAGGATGCAAAGCTTTGGCTTTGTGTAAAGGACTTGAGGCTGTAAGTTATTTTCTGGTTACAATTCTTATATTTTTAATTTTATATTCTTCATTTCCTTCCTCATTTTATGTTGGTTTAATACTGCATTTGTCTTAAAGGTGGATCTTTACATGTAAATCAACAAGATTCTAATGATTGCTAGATAATTTAACATTCTAGAAGACATTTAAATTTGTTGCGTTAAAAATAATGATAAAAATGAGTACTTATTGTTGTTAGTAGGATATAGTTGATTAATATTGGGTGTATCCTTCATGTACTTAGGGAATAGGATTTTTATCATTTGCCTGGCAAATTTATGTTGTATTTAATTCTTAATGCTTGTTTGGTTTGGGTTTCGATGGAATTAATTTTGAACCATCAAGTCTGATTGAGATGTGTGTATAAATTATTCTAAATCATGTATTTATATTGGAATGTGTGGTTTACATTGGAGAGTGTGAGAATTGATTTTCTAACTTTAAGACAAATGTGGGGGAGGGGGGGTGGGGATAGTGTATATAAACATACACTCTGCTTAGTGTTCTCACTCAAGCAATTCACTAATATTTCTTTCAAAATTCTTTTCTCTTAAACTTCTTAACTTGGTATCTGAGCCTTCTGCTCAAATTCGGTGAGACTCTTGTAAGCAGCTTTATTTTGTGCAAGCTCAGTCCAGAAATCCATGCACTGATCTCTAGTCACAAGAATTCCAAATCCAATCTGGTTGTTTGGCTTGAGGGGTTTTTCTACTCATCCCTGATGACAAGTAGTGGGACCCTTGTTCTCTTTCATCCTTGTTCAAGGATCCCTTGATCATTTGCAGAAAACTTCTGAGAAAATACCACAAGAAAGTAGGAATAAGCGGAAAAAACTTGATTACCTACACCAGCTATTTTGACAAATTTCATAACTTTCAAGATGTCTTTGCTAATGATGTTCAAAAGCTGTGTGATTCTGTACAAAAAAAAATAGCCTCCCTCAAAAGCGAACTGATCATGATATGATGTCTTATGTCTCTATGGCCGAATCAATGGTTGAGGAGTTAAAAATATTCTTCGAAGTTGAGTGTATGTAAATATATACCTTGGACTTGAGTGGCTCATTAAGTTCTTTAATGGGATGGGATTTTGAGATCGAAGAATATGCCACTATTCATGATAAAATTTTGACGAGTCATAAGGTGCTGTCCGAGGAAATTAGTTGTAATTAAATTGTTAGTGTATGTAAATATATACCTTGGATTTGAATGACTTACTAAACTCTTTAATGAGATTTTGAGATTTAAGAATATGTCATTTTGGTTCCTACATACAAGAACAAGGGTGATATCCAAAATTTTGCAAACTATAGAGGGATTAAACTCGAGTTACACTATGAAGTTGTGAGAAAACGTAATTGAACATAGACTGTAGAAGGAAACATATATTGCAGAAATTCAATTTGATTTTATGTGAGGAAGGCTTACAACATAAGTTATATATTTTTATGGAAGATGATGAAAAAGTATGGCTACAAAGAAAATGACTTATATATGATTTTTATTGACTAGGAAAATGCATTGATCGGGTATCAAGAAAAGTGTTATAAAAGACTTTAGAAAAAAAAAAAGGGTCCGTGTTAGTTGTTACATATATTCGAGCCACATAAGACATGTATGAAGGGGGTAACTACGTGTAATAGAACTTCTAGAAGCGTATCTAAGGACATTCCAATAGAGATAGGTTTACATCAAGACTCATCTTTGAGCCTTTACTTATTTATTCTAGTCTTAAACGTGTGCAAGTGAAATACAAAAGATTATCTCTAATTGTATACTTCTTTGTGGATGACAGTGTGTTGGTTGAAAATTCAAAAGAAGATATTAATGCTAAACTTGAATTATAGAGGGAGACTTTAGAATCTAAATATTTTCGCTTGAGTAGAAGTAAAACAGAGTATATGCATTGTAAGTTTAGCAAAAAGTAAGATAAAGATCACGCATTGAAAGTTAAAATGAGAGATGATATTATACCATAAGTTTCTAGATTTAGGTACTTGAGATTGATTATATAGAATAATGAGTAAATTAATGAAAATATTACTCAGAATACAAGTTTGGTGGTTGAGCTCAATGACGTGTGATCCATGTAACTAACTCTACTTAGTGGGATAAGACTTAGTTATTATTGTTGTATGTAAATATACACCCTACTTGTGTTCTTGTGATTTTTCCTCTAAACTTCTTAACTATTGCATGGCATCATTCAATAACATTTCTACTTTGGCTAAATATCTATCTGCAGGTTGTAGATTGCCTCAATAAATTAGTTCGGTCAAATGCTTTTATGGCTGAGGATAATGGTTGCATCATTTTGGCATGTGACACAATAACGAACCTTCTATTGAAGGTGATGTTCTTATCATAATAACCAGGCTTATAACCCTATATTGGTTGTGCAAAATCTTCACATAAGTTGCACTTTCTCTACTGTAGAAAGACAAAGTTCAGATGGTGTTGGATGAATCAGTTATTGTTGATCTTCTTAAAGCATTGACATATTGGTCAGGTACCATACGTAGCTGCCACTAAAATGAGTGTTTTCATTGTGCTCTACTACTACATAACCATATTCCCATTTTGTTCATCTATCTGTTTGCCATGCATATTTAAAATGGACTAGCATGTGTATCTATAAAAGCAAGTGGTTTCTGTTTGTCATGTTGCACTACCTCGTAGCTTACTGCTAGATTTCAGTTAGAGTCAGAATTGTGCACAGAGAGCAGATGAACATCATCCATGAGAATTTAAACTGATTTGTGAGATGATGTGAAGTTTGTTAGGAGTACAGTACAAGGAACAGTATTTTAGTTGTTCTTTGTTGATAAGACAAAGCCAAGCAAAGTTTTTCTTTTAAGATGACATTAGCTTAGGATGTAATCAGGTTGGGTTGGGTCAGTTTCAGGGACAAATGAATTCAAATCCATTAAAACAGACTTGGTTTCGGTCAGTTTGGGTTTGGTGAGTTTTTGGGGGCCAACTAAAACTGAATTAACCCAATGAAATTTGGTTGGTTTGGGTCTGGTCAAGGGATGGTACTATATTTGACTATTTTAAAAAAAAATTAACTAAAATGTAAAACAATGACAAAGCCTTATTTCACTTAGTGAAGTTGGTTACATAGATTATATGATGTCCCTAGGTTTGGTTAAAAATCAAATTGTCAGATTATTCACCAGTGTAAATATTATTTAGTTTTTCACAGGGTGAAAAATCACACAATCAACTCCCCTCAGTGGTGGTACCTCTAGTAGCTTTCTTACATGTTCAAACCACCTTAACTGATTTTATCATCCTTTTCTCAATAGGTGATATTCCAATCTCTTCTAATATACAATTATTTCTTATCTTTTCTCATGGAGTTAACCATCTATCTTAACACTTTCATTTTTGATACCCCTATTTTTTTCTTGATTTATTCCTTAAAGCCCAATAGTTATAATTATAGAGGATAGTAGGTAGTATTGCAATTTAATAAAACTTTCTTTTAACCTTGATAGATATTTTGCAGTTACACATAACTTATGTTTTTCTCTATTTTAGTCACTAAGCTTGCATTTTGTGTGTAACATCTATATTACAAATTTGTGGAATGATATTATCTTCAATTTTGACTTAAATCATTTTCATTTCATTTCTTGTTAAAATTGCAATGCATATACTTTATATAGCTTCTACTTAAGTGGAAATCCTTTGATTCCAATGTCTCCAAAGCAAAAATTTTGAGTTAATCTTTTTTCTTGAATCCTCAATTAATGTTATGTTATCTGCCAAAAACTTATATTTGGAGATAATTTTTTGTATGTTTTTGACAAACATATCAAAGAATAGGTTTTAAATAAATGAAGATGCAAGCCTGAGCTTTGGTATAAGTCTATCCTTATAGGAAAGTCCTTGGTCATGTCTCTTGGAGTTCTCATACTTGTAATTAGTAGTTACACCCATTGTTGTTAAAATCGCGATTAAAATCGTGGGATCGTACGATTTTACAATCTTATACCCCTTAGACAATCTTAATCGGACTTGGGATCGCTTATATGGAAGAACGGATGAGATCCCGATCTTTTCTGTCAGGATCGTAGGATCTCCGATTCGATTCGATCACAGGGGCAGGTTTTTTGGGTCGGTTCTGGGTTGGGCTTCTGGGGGGTTGGGTTTCCAGGTCGGGTTTTTCTAACCTGGTTTTAAAAAACCTATTTAGGTTATTTTTCCCCAAATTCTTTCCCATTCTCTCTTCCGCAACGCCCATTCTCTCTTCCTCGACATCCTTCCATTTTCTCTCTCTTCCGCGACACCCATCCTTCCATTCTCTACGTGGGTGGTTCGCGTTTTCTTTTTTGGTGTTTCTTGAGCTGCTGTTTGCCTGTTTCAATTGGTGGTTCACGTTTTCTGGGTGTTTTCTATTCTCTAGATATACCGTGAGCTACTGTTTCAGTTTTGTTTTCCAGTAGAGATGAATTTTTATGTCTTGTAATAAATACACCTTTCAATATAAACCTGTGAGTGAGGTTAATTTAAATAAACATTTTAATAGTGTTACTACCTAAAAATAATTTTATTAAAATTAATTTTCAAATTTATTAATAATATATTATATATTAAAATAAAATAGTGTAATAAGACATCAACTTATATGTAAAATGGTATAAAATTATTTTTTCTAATATTTTTTTAAAAATTAATGAATATCATATTTTATAGAAAACCTATTAAACATTATAAGCATCTAAGTTTCACGTATTTAACTATGAATCTAAACACTGTTAACTAGAGCTAATACTTTAATATTATTTATTCCAAAGTATTATAAGTTGGATAACTTGTTGATCTTTTTAATTTTTAAAAAAATATTCTTCTATTTATTTTCTATTATGTGTTCTCTCACCTTAGCATGGATAGTTTAACTAATTATGTGTTATATTGAATCTTAAATATAGGATTTTTAAGTTTATATTTAACTAAATTAGGTAATTTAGACATTAACTTTTTATCTATGTAATTTTCTCAGTTTATATATATATGTTTTAAGTATAATTTTACACTTTTTGAAGGATCTTACGATCTATATTACGATCCCACGATTTACGAATTTTTACCTCTCTTCCGATCCTAGGTAAGATCCCGATCTTGACAACATTGGTTACACCATCATACATGTTTTGTATAACTCAAAAATTAGTCACTCAAACACTTTTCTTTTTCAAAGTCATTTGGAATATTTCTCGTGGCACATAATCATATGCTTTTTCTAAGATAGTAATAATCTTATGCATCTTTTTCTTTGCATTGGTACTTTTCTATTAACTCTTTTTAGAAGGTATATATAACTTCTATTGTAAAAATAAAAAGGATATTTAAAAATCAAACTAATATAAGTATTTGAAATTGAAAGGATATATATAAGGTTGGGACTGGTTCAAAGTTTTCTAACTTAAGCCTAGACTTGACATAGATCAAGTTTGACACTTTCTAAATAAAGCATTAAATTAGTTCTTGAATTTATAATTATCAGTCTCTTGAATGCTTGAAATTATTAATAGACATTATAGTTTGTTAAGATGTTCCATATTGACTAGGAATAGAGGCAAAATATTCCTTATAAAACTTGAGCAAACCTCTTCCTATAAGCTAGTTTTTGGGAGAGAGTTAGATCTAGTTTTCTATAATGTTATCAAAGCCTATCCAATTTGAATATTAGGCTGCCTATAGATGTTCAATCCTGTTGTGTCACCTACAGATGTGTAGTAATGCAAACTTTACACATCAAATGTCTAGTCTTAGGTATGAGAGGGGTGTGTTAACTGTTAAGATATCATACATCAGTTAAGAATAGAATTAGAATACTTTTTATAAGGCTTGAGCAAATATCTTCCCATAAACTAGCTTTTGGGATTGAGTTATGCTTAGCTTTCAAATAACAGTCCTTAAAATTAGCAACTATAAAGAATTTATTCCCTAATATTGAGGATTTGTCAATTTGATCCATTACTTTGATAACTATTGTTCATTTTGGCCCCTCACTTTGGCGCAAACCAGTCAATATAGTGCTGAACTTTGTTGTGAATTAGTCAATTTGGTCCCCAACACCAAGGAACAAACCAATTATGATTGTCAAATTTAGGGACCAAATTAATGATGATTGTCAAATTCAAGGACTAAATTGATTGGTTTTGTAATGTCAAGGATCAAATTGACTAATGGTGACAATTTTAGGGACTAAATTTACCGGTGCTTATAATTTCATGAACTGATTTGGTGCATTTTATTTTCATAAATTGGGTTGAACTAACGAACCAATCCAAACCACATTTTTGCACACTTGGGATCTGATTGATCATGTCTGAACTTGTTTACGGCTAACATAAGCTAAGTGCAAATTTGCTATTGATTAGTATGATAATCATCATGGAGTTAATCTTGTACTGTTTAATATTTATCTTTGTTTCCTTTTGGGTGATATGGAACGAAGAATGAGTTAAACTCTGTCAAAACTAGTATTGTTTCATCAATGAGTGAGAGTGAAGATAATTTTTGGATAATTAAATCTCATGAAGAAAAATGCAAAATTTGAGTCTTGAAAAGTGAAAACGTACCAATGGCAGGGAATTGTTCAAACATTCTAAGGATACTATAATCAAATCTCAAAAGATAAGCGAATTCTTGAAGATTGGCATTTGGAAAATTTTGGTATTTCATGTGGCTATGCTTGGTCCAGTGTTTATCATGTGTGATCTGGCCCCATGAGAAAATATGATTTTTGAAATTGGAAAAATCCTAGTGGCTGGGAATGGAATTAAATGCTTCTCCAATGGTTAGAAACATTTAACCATGAAGATTTTATGGATGTTACTGGCTGTTCCTTATACTGTTATTTTAACTCTGTAAATACCATCAACTTTTATTCTACTGTTTATTTGCTCGTTACTTTTATTTATTTAATTGAAAGTATGGTATAAAGCATGTATCTTAACTTTATTTCTGAAATTTGGTTTGTAGAAAATACTAATGAAATGTCAAGTATGATGATGGCTTCAAGTATTTGTGCCCTGGTATTTGACTATACATCAGAAGCAGCACTTTTAAACTGTCCTGATTTCAACTATAGTACTCTTAGCAGTCTTTATCGGCTCATCGCAAGATGTCTGACTGCATCAGAACAGGTAAATTGTGAATTCCCTTTCATTATAATTTGTAAAATAAATTTGGTCCAAGCTGTGTTGTTGATTCTGAATATTTGTAGGAATCAGCAATAAATGATTTTGCTTCTAGAGTATCACGGCGTTTATTTTGTCTGAAAGTAATCTTTCTTAAACTGATCTTTATTTGTCATCTCCTGTCTATCCCAACATCAACTTTTTTGCCATGTTCATCTTTGTCTTCGATGATTTTATAGTGCGACTATTCACTCCAAATTGCTCAACAGTTTGTGTAGCAATATTTGGTGATATGATCCTTTAACTTTGAAACTCCTTTGGTCTCTCTTTTTCTCGTTTCATCACATCACATGCACTTAGTGTGATTTAATGTTTTCTAAAGAACTGTACAGATTGTTGGCATGTCTGCATGAGCTCAAATGTCACTACGTAAACCTTTTTCCTGTCGACTTAGATGCAGCCATATTATTACTTTGTGCTTCAAAGTGATGAAAGATTTTACACAACTTGTACATAATTCTGAAGTATTTACATATGATGTGAAGTTACTAATTAAGACAAAATATCCATCATCGGGTTCCATCTTGGATTCAAGACATCAAATTGCTCATTCATGGGCTCAGATTTCTTCTGACTGTTAATTTTAACTGTTGTTCCTTTGTTGAATTTGATTTCTAGATATTGCATCTCATCTACTGAAACTATATTATTTGTAAAATAACGTTTTAAAAAATGTTAATGTGAACTTCACATACATACATCGGTTTTGATAGTATTTCCTTCTGGTCTGCATTTTTTTGTGTTACATTTACTCTTCATTTCTAAAACCAACAATGGGTTTCTAGAGAGCTTATTGCTTTCCTTCTTGCACCAAAATCCGGCCATTTTAATCACTTCTTGAGGTCTACACACGCAATATTTTCTTAACCGCGGTAAACTAGATATTTTATTTTAATTTCAGAAGTACTTATGACTTGGCTGTTTATTGTAATATATTGCAGGATACCAAGGACGATATGGATCTTTCTGAGATAATCTCTTCTGGTGAATGTTTACTGGATGCTAGTTAATTGCTAAAGGCTTTTCTGAGATAGTTGCATGTTGTAACTCGCATTGTTGTGCAGGTTTCTCTCGATGGGCGCATCGATACCCCCACATCAGAGAGGCAGTCGAGAACTGATTTTGATCTTCTTGAAGTGAATTAGTTGTATGTCGATGCTTTCAGCTTCCAAGGTAGCATTACTAAATTATTTTCGTCAAAATGTCATTTAGCATGGTTTATAATGAGCTTAGATTTAATTCATCGTTAAGTGTAAAAATCTTTTACATTATTGTCTAATTACGAGTTAACCAGGTATCGCGTTAAACTCAACTAATGCTGTACATGGAATTGTGAAAAGGCTACCGGTGGAGATGGGATAGGATCTTTATACAGAGGATTAAAAGCTCATGGTTACAAACCAGCGTCCATAGTTGGAATCTCACCTTGCCCACAACCACCTAAGATGGGACGGACTTTTCCTTATGGGATAGGAAATCATGGTCATTTTTTTGGTTCGTTTTAGCAGTCCGGATCAACGTTATATGATTGTCTGTATGTCCGAACTCTTTGTTCCATTATTTTATGTTCGGAGATGTGGGTTTAGATAACATTTTACTCCATATAGTATTTGCCTATTAGGTTGGCTAGAAATTTAGTGGAAAAAAGAACCGTTTCTAAATTTCTAATGCATTTTATATTTGACTTTTATTTTTAATATTTTAAAACAAGTCTCACCTAAATATTTTTCTTTAGTTTGAATCGCCCAAAGACCCAAGGAGAAGAAATTTACTCAAAAGATGGGTTTAGTTTAGTTTCTTAAAAAGATTTGCAATTTTCATAGTTGGTCCATGATTTTTAATTATTTCAAGGAAGCTATTCATAAAATACTTTTCTTTATCATTTAGTCTCTGTCAATTCTTTATTAATATTTTTGTTAACTGTATTCTTTTTCTTTTATCATTTTAAATATTATGAAATCTTGAATTTTATATTTAATCCTTTTTTAAATATAATAAATTTTGTTTAGTGTCATTTTAGAATAATTAAATGAAAATCGTGTAATGTTTAGAGGTTAAATACAATTTGAAGGATAAACTTATTGAAGCCAGTAAAAATTAGAATACAATAAAAATGAGGCAAATAAATCAATTTTGATATATTGTAAACGTAGTAAATTTATAGATGTGTTATAGAGGAAGAAAGATGCAACTTTAGATTTGCATTATAATTAAATTGTGTTTTAGTAGATGAGATGCAAGACCTAGTGATAAAATTCAATACGAGAGAAACAGATGAAATTAGGAGTCAGAAGAAATCCAAGGTTAAGAATGAACAACTTATAATTTTACAACTCAAGGATAACCAAACTAAAACCGAAGCAACTCTGAATATAAAAGACCCAAGTTTTTTCTGATAGATAAAACTAAAACATCACAAGTTAGCATATTAGAGTTGTTTAAAGGCTGGGCTTGATGAAAAATATCACCCGGCCTAATTAAATTATAGTGAGTTGCGTTGGGTAATCATATCTACACTTAAAAAGATTATTTAAAATCTTTGTGATTTATAAATTTTTAATAATTATTAAAATAAATTAAGAAAATATATCAATATTTATATAAAAAAATATCAATTTATACTCAAATTATAAATTATTTACAAAAAATTACATTTAAAAGCATACATTAAAATACAATTATTATATAATATTTTACTTTTAAAAGTTTTTTATTATGTAATCAGGTTAAATTTGAGTTTATTGAGTTACAAAAAGCCTGATCCGGTGTTTGACCTGAAAGTGATCGGTTTTATAAATTTAATAGTGTGTTTGGATGGATATTTTTCAAATTTCAGGAAATTTAAAATAACAAAAAATTGAATTCACACATTCTAAATATTGTTTTTATAAAATTGATTGTTTGTTATTTATATCTTGATAACCCTCTCAATTATAGAGGGTACAATAGATTTTTTACCTATTGTATTATTCAACTTTGTGAATTTGGGATAATTTTAAAAATCTCCTCTCTAATGGTAAAATTTCAAATTCACTCCTATTAACTATGAAAAATACTCATTCCTTTGTTTAATATCTAAACAAAATATTTGATACAAAATCATTTTAAATCTTTGTAAAGAAGACATTACCTCCTTGAAATTCTTCATCCAAACATATAGTAAAACTTTACATTCAAGCCTAATTTGTTGATTTTAGTGTAGTTTAGATATGTTCATAACCCGATTTTGTGGCACTCCTTTCAATCAACTTAAAATTGAAAATTAGGATTCTCCAAGTCATCCCAAGGAACACTAACATTTTCTCTTAGCATCCTCTCAAACTTTAACTAAGGTCCTGTTTGGAAGAAATGATTTACAAAAAATTGAAACGATGGATTTTAGAGATAAAAGTATAGCTTTCTCTTGTTTGCTGAAAATTTTGCTAAATTTTTAATTTTTTTATTCAATTGAATTATTCATTATTATTATAAAAATATTTATTGTACAATTTACTAATTTTTCTCTCTTTTTCACTCATCCAAATAAATTTTTTAAAAAATCACTTCTTTAACTCATACTCATTTAAATAAAACATTTTTTTTCGTGCTATTTCTCCACCATTCTATTTCTTTTTTCTTTATTCCTTTTCTCCTTATTTTATGCCTTCATCTAGATAAAGCATTAAGTTTTCAGCATTTCTATCACTATCAATAATTCAATCATCATCAAAAGAAGGATAATGAATCTTGCATTTATTAGCCTTCCCAGCTTGCTTGGATATCATCTTCTCTGAGAGTATATAACTAAGTGCAATTAAATCATATTCTTCCTCACAACATTAATCCCCAAAAAACCATCTATAAATACTGTTTTCAATTTTTTTATGATTAAAATTACCAATCTCATGTTTCTCAACATTGATTGTGTAAATGCTTATTTTCCGTTTATAAATATTATTAAACTCAGATAAATAAAATTAACAACTTTGATGAAATTCTAAAATGATAAAATTAAGTTTAAAACTATGTTTTTTTAAATTTAATTAAATAAAAAATATAGTATAACAAGATAAATAATAATAATAATAATAATAATAATAATAATAATAATAATAATAATAAAAGCATACAACAATTATCATCATTCACTTACAACTATGACAAACCAACTAAATCATTTTCAACCACCCCAACAAAAGTGATTCGGGTCGTAGCTAGTATATCTAAATTTGAAGAAATTTACATAATTTAGAAGTTTACATAAATTACTAACAATGGTTACCCGTAAAATCCTTAAATCTATATTTAAATAATTTTTTTTTTATCAAAGGATACTTTTTTAAGTTGTAGGTCTTAAGGCACTATTTTTAATTCTAAAAATTATAATAAAAAATTTCTGAAGTACAGTAGAAACTCTTTAAATTAATACTTGACAAATTAATAAACTCTCTAAAATAATAAATTTATCCGGTCTCGACTTGGGTCAATATAAAAAATTGAAAAACCTGATAAAATAATAAGATAATAATTTTTCGGGAGATCCCTTTATAATTTTCGGTCCCAAAAAAATCATAAATTAATAATTCATAGAAACTGAAAAAGAGCTCATCTCTAACTTTTCTTATTGTATCCAATAGCTCAGGTGTTGTATTTTTGTATTCTATCATAAAGTTGTGAAGAGTGTTCGACGCCATAAGTGCTTCCTTTCGTGTAACAGGCTCCAAAGACACTGTATCATCTTCGTCGTCATCCTCTACATTGTTCTCAATGATAGTACCCACAATATCTTCTAAACTCTGAACCTCCGAACATGCTTCATTTTCACCTGGGTAGTTCATTAGATTGTCGATATCCATCTTATTACGATAGCCACATTGATTGATCATAGTCTCGAGGTCTTGAGTTTCTTCATCAAAAGTGGATTCATCCAAATTTCTTACAACATCACTATCTGAACGAATTTTACAGTGTCGGAAGCAATTCGCTATTGTTTCTTTTCGAACATCTATCGTCCAAGCTAGGATTGCCAAATTGATAGCATCAAGGACATTTATCTTCCCTGGATCAGATTGTCCCACCTCATAACCTTCCAATATTTTGCGGTAAAACCTTCTCCGGTAATGCATCTTGAAAGCTCTTATTATCCCAGCATCGCAAGGTTGAATCTTTGATGTCATGTTGAGTGGCAAGAAGAACAACTCAACGTTTCTTAGCCCTTCAATATTTCTTGGATGTGCTGGACAATTATCCACCACAAGTAGAACTCTTCTACCATGCATCATTTGGTCAAATGAACGAACATATTCATAAAAAAATACACTAGTCATCCATGCTTTTTTGTTAGCTCGATACTGACAATTCAAGCTATTCATGTTGACATTCTTGAAGCAACGAGGCTTTGCATATTTCCCAATAATCCATAGAGGGATTTTTTCAGAGCCATCTTCATTGCAACAAATAACTACCGTCAGCCTTTCTTTATCTTATTTTCTTCCTTCAAGTTGTTTTGCTGCCAGTAAATGATCAGCTTGTAGCCTATAAAACAACCCAGTTTCATCCATATTGAAAACATCTTTCATAGGGAACTGATCAATTTTCTCCTGAATCGATACCAATTTCTGCTCCATGTCTTGTAGATCAATAGACCCACTCTCGCCAAAACGACGAAATGACTTTATGCCATGTCGGTGCTTGAATTTCCCAAGCCATCCTATAGAGAAGTTAAAATCTGAATCATCATGAGGATACACGAGTTTCATTGTATCTCTTGCCTTCTGCAAAATTAATTCTCCTGTGATATTCACACGTTCTTGATGCTGGAGAAACCACTCATAAACAACCTTCTCCATGTTAGGATATTTTGCTGGTTTGTATCTTTTGATCTCTGCTCTTCCCTTTTCTATTTTAGCAGAGAGATAGTCATCTGACCACCTAAGTGTGTTTGATATTATTCCTTGACTAACTTTCAACTGAAATTTTCCCTCAAGTCATCTCTACAAGTCTTTTTGTGTGCTTGCAGGATTATCTCTCTTATACTCACACAACTCCTTACGTATTTGATCTGACATAGTTGATTTTGCAACACCTTTTAGATGAGAAGCCATCTTGTGAGATATGGTTTGAATACTCTAATACATTCATGTAATTTATATATGCCAAACTTGCTTAAAAATACATTGAACACATTTGTTCTTCTTGTTTACATTTACTGTACTTCAAAAGTCATTATTGATTTCCAATGCATATGTAGTGTAGTTACTAATTTACTATACGTTGAGTCCCAAGGTTCGCTGTAACGTAATTCTAAGAGGCATAGATTAATTTACCTTTTTGTTTGGTATGTACAGTATAATTACTTACAAACTCTTTAAATTAATAATTATTAATTTATCGATAAATTAATAACTCTCTAAATTAATAAATTTCTCTGGTCCTGATATTATTAATTTAAAGAGTTTCTACTGTAATTTGTGATAAGAAGAAAATAAGTAAGATAATGGAGTTTCTCTAGAGCGTCAAAATGGTGCTAAGAGGAAAAAGATTCAATAATAGAAAAATTAAATAAATTTGTGTGCACACAATACAAGAGAGAAAGAAAGAATGATGGTAAGAATGAATTAAAAAAATAAAGAAAAGAAATAGAAAAGCCTTTTAATTATATTTGGAATATATTTTTTTACCTTAAAATCAAAGATCATGAGATGTCTCTAAGTTTAAAAAATTAAATCTCGCTCACAATTTGTGATTGTTTTAATCCGAGAAAATTTTCACACAGTAAAGTTCAAACATAGGATCTCCTAATTAAAAGATTAATCTCATACATATGAACGCAACATAGTATTATACTACTTCACCAATCTTTCAAGTTATTTAGAAAGTTAATTTTAACATTTGATTTTATCTTATTTTTTTGTTTTATTAATATGGAGCATATCATTAACATCTGATTCCAAATCAAGGGCAATGTTTTATTTCCTACACTTTTTACTAGTAATTCTTTTTTATTTTAACCATACATTCTAAAGTCTCATAAGTTTTGGGTAATTACTTTTTTCATTTCTTTAAATACACAATTGTTTCTTTTGAACCTTGTGAAAATAAAATTTTAAAATATATTAAATATTTTTAAAATTTAATTCCGAAAGTGATATTCAGGGTTAAGCTTCCGAAGGGCGGTATAAAACAAAAAAAGAAAGCACTGCAGTGTGACCCAAATATAATTGACATCATCTCCCACCTTCACCAAGTATGCTCTGTCCCTTTTCATTTGTGTTGTCTGCAATAATTGCAAAAAGCAATGACTACCATCAAATATTCCTTGACGCAAAATTAACAAATAATGGAAAAATCATAATATACTTCTCCAGTAACATGAATTCGTACTTGTGAAAAACTCCCCAAACATCCCTGTACCTTCTTTGCATAAGGGGTGTTTTAAGCTTTTTTATATTAAACAAGTTATTCTAACAGTAATTAGATATAAAAGTTTTTTGCATAATCAAACACCCTTTTCGCCAAGGAGTAGATCAACAACAAGAGGAGACGAAAATTATTGATTCCAAAAGGATAACATTAGCCAGGATTCAACTTTGTTCTGTACAAAAAGTGAACATCACATTGTATCCTAAATAAACATTACAAACCAACATAACTAACTGATCCATGATGAGCACAACACCTAAAATGAAATGAAAATTGGGGATCAAAGCAGAGTCACAGGATTGATGATTCATTATTATTATGCCAAGAGAGAACAAGATCTTGAAGGCCAAGTTTCCAATGATCCCAGTGAAGCTCCTCAAACTCCAACCCACCATCAACGACTTTAACAGCCACCAACAACAAGTGAGACACAATCTCAAACACCTCAACAACAAGAGCCACCTTCCCTTTCCCCAACCCAATCACACCATTCTTTCCAACCTCAACCCTAAACCCCAAACTCAAGCCAACCTCTTTGACCTTAGCCTCAACCACATCCACCTTCTTATCGGAAGTAAACCTCTTCTCCCTCCTCCTCCCCTTGTCTGACGTCGTTTCGAACAACCCTCTCAAATCCAACCCCGACGACATCGATATTATATCAAACGCGTTCATTCCCAATTTATAACCGTCACAACACTTATTATACAAATCACTCTCCAAAACGCTCTCTTCTGCCTTCTCCCTCAGCGATTTCTTAAACCACGCGTTTTCCACCACACTCTCCAATCTCATTCGCCTATTAGGGTTCGGGTCAAGTAATTGGTAAATTAGGGTTCGCGCCGCTTTCGAGATCCACGCCGGAAACTGGTATTCCCGCCGGGAAATCCTCTTGCACATCGCCGGAATGTTCGAGTCGTCGAACGGAAGGTGACCGGCTAGGAGCACGTAGAGGATGACGCCGCAGGACCACGCGTCGGCCTTAGAACCATCGTAGCCGCAGCGGCGAAGGATCTCCGGTGCTGTGTACGCCGGCGTGCCGCACGCGGTGTGGAGGAGGCCGTTCTTGAGCTGCTCCGGCAGTGCCGAGAGGCCGAAGTCGGAGACCTTGAGGTTGCCATCGGCGTCGAGGAGGAGGTTCTGCGGCTTGAGGTCGCGGTGTGCCACGCCGTTGCGATGGCAGAAGCATAGCGCTGAGACGAGTTGTTGGAAGTAGCGCCGCGCCAGGGATTCCGCCAACCTTCCACGGCGGGAGAGCTTGGAGAAGAGCTCGCCGCCGCCTGCGTAGTCGACGATGAGGTAGATCTTGGTTTTGGTGGCCATGACCTCGTGGATTTTGAGGATATTAGGGTGGTGGTGGAGGCGGCGCATGGCATCGATTTCGCGCACGATGCGGGGCTCCATGGCTGCGTCCACAGTTTTGGATTTGTCGATGACCTTAACGGCCACGGTGGCACCGTCGACCAGGGAACGAGCCTGGTACACCTTCGCGAAGTTTCCGCGCCCTAAGAAGCGCGTGAGTTGGTACTTCCCGAGGATGGTGCGTGGCGGGGGTGACGGCGGTTGGCGAGGTTCCATTGTTGTGGGAGTAACAACAACAGCAACCAACGGAGTATATGGCTGCGCAACGTGGTTTATATAGCGCTTCAAAATTTGTTTTGCTCCTCGCAATTCCTATTCTGCCCTTCTCTTTTTTTGGTTTATGCATTAATCCCTTTCACTCTGTCACTGCTTCAAAATTTTACATGATGATTATGGCTTTTATTTAATAATTTTAATGTTTTTCTCTTTTATTTTTATAAATTTTTAAATATTAAATATATTTTATATTTTAAAAATATATAAAAATTTATTTAATATATATTTTATGAAGTAATAGAAAAATAATACTTGCGTTTATAACTTTAAAGAACATTTTATATATTTTTTAAATTAATGACAATTATTTAAATATTTTAAAAATTTAAAAATATTTAATTTTTTAAAATAGATTACTAATTTTTATTATTTATTATATATATTTAATATAATATTAACAGTGATGATTATTGTATAGAAGCAATGAAATACAGAATCACGGTAAAACTTACCTCTAAAACATTACTGAAACGACTAATACGATGAGTCCACAAGCGAGTGAGGCTTAAATTATTTCTAAGCAAATCTTATTTAGCGCACGTGATTTCGTGCCTGAACTTCAAAAGTAATTTAAATTGTCGTTAATTTATTTTTTAACGCTAAATCAAACACATGCTTGTTTCATTATGATACAAGGCTGGTTAAAATTTAAATGACTAAATTTATCTTTAATTGGATTTAAAATATATCGTAATTTTAACTCAGATAGAAATATCCAAGGAAACTAAGTTAAAGTTGTTAGTTTAAATCAGAAGAAATTTTTTAATTCATTTAAATTCGAATTTTTTAACTGAATATACCATAACATTGGTAGGATTTCATCATCAATGGGCAATAAAGAAAACTCTTGCACAGGAAAAATCTTGCCCATTAATTGTAAATTTTGTCTATCAAATTTAAAATCGATGGCTCAAATTCACTCAATAACTTTATTTTTTCACCACAAAGTTAGAAAATTCAAATTTGGCGGTGGATACTCGCTTCACTTTGAACTAGGTTTGTCCTTGTATATAAAGTTGAGTTGGAAATTAGAATTTTAAAAAAGAAGTTTATTAATTTTAAAAATATTTATAGGAGAAAATATGACGGCCGACCCAAGAAAAATCTGTGTACAACTAATCAACCCCTGTATAAAGTCAAATCCCCTTTCAATTGCAAAGCTTGTTGTTACCTAAACTTTTTCAACCAAATGAAAAAAAAGGTAGATATTGATCAGCGAGAGTGACTTATATAAGTTGTATATCTATAACAATCACGATTCGCATGCCGACAACAAAGAAAACATAAACAACGACGAATATCTCACCCATTTGTTTCCTACGACCTGCCAATTTCTTTTCCTCTTACTGATAGAGCCGTGTTTTCTATGACTAATGGGTGTTTGAATTCTGTTGGGGAGGAACAAGTGTCTCCGAACGATGTCACCAGTTTCCTAAAAACGTGTGACAATCTGGAATTAGAATATGCAAAGCATCATGGTTAAGTGGCTTTCACTATTAATTACTTTACTTCTCACTCTGATCTCATCACATACACAAGCAAACAATGAACCAAACCCTTTATCGCTCCACAAGTGGACTATTTAGATGCACCGGTCAATGAATTCTGCTACCTGTATTGATTAATTTGCTTTCACTTCAATTTCCGGGAACATTCACAGATTCATTCAGATATACAACTAACATGTAACACACTCAATTATATTCTATTCAATACCTAGTTTAGACATGTTGTACACAATTTTTAACATTTAATTGTAATAATTAAATAACTAAATGTGCCAATGTTTGATTTGATACACATGGAATAAGGGTATATTTAATTCGACAAAAACAGCCATCAATGATTCAGAGAATGTGAATGTCTGTGTGGGGGTGAAGAAGGTTTTTGAGGTGTTTCTTTTCTTATTGTTTTTGTACTCTGAATATTATGGTTGGGTGGTCAAACTCAAGAAGAGTAGCAGTCTGCAAGTCCTTGGAGGAAAGGGCAAGGGTCTCTGGGGTAGTTTCACAATCACAACAAGTCTCGTGGGGCCAAAATCAATAGCATGCATAGGATAGAAACAAGTGATAGCAATGGAATTGCACAACTCCACAAACAAGGGGTGTGGAATCTGTGCAAGAGAATGGTAGGTGTGCCGAGGTGTCAAAAAATGGGTAGGTTTAGGGGTACATGGTCCCACAAGTGTGTGTTATAATTGCCTGGTATTAACTATAATTGAGTACGTACCAAGGAGAGCTATTGCTACGTTACAAAAACGAATCATGTGTGATTTTGTTTTTGCATTTCACGGCCCAAGAAATGCCACGTGACGAAAATGTAAGTGACCAACTTTCTAGAGCAGAACCCTCACTCTGAATTAAGGAGCGACACAAGAAATCAAGGTCAATGGCGCGCGCATACTTGTGTTGCTCATAAACATTTGTTCTGTTTTCTATTAATCGATTATATTTAATAACAATTATTCTCGTTCTTGATTCTGCCTTGCCTGGATTCTCATTGGACCAGCGCAAAACTTGGTTGTTAGTAATTTAATTTGAATCTTGTGCGTATCTGATATCATTACATTATTATTTTTTAAATTATTGTTACCAAATTAGTGTGTGAGAAATCAAGTATTATTAAATTAGTCATTTAAATTCTATTATGTCACATCAATTTTATGAAAGTGTAACATTCCCACTAAATTTGTTTCAAAAAGATTAAAGTGATAATGTAAAATGATAATTAATTTAATAATAGTTTAAAATCTTTAAAAACTCATTTGATAAAAAAAATTACAGTTGTGGCATTATAATTTTGGCAAAATTAGTGATTAGCTTCTCTAATTTTCTTTTATTTTATCATTAATTTAATCCTCTTAATTCAGCAATTTACAATAAAAAGATGTAGTATTGTGTCAATGCTGACTTTTCGATAATGAGATTTTTCTGATCAAATAATAATTAATATTGTTTGTCACAAATTTAATAATAATTTGAAATATTCTCATTATAAAATTAAGAATTGACTCTTCTAAAATAATAAAATAAAATATATTTCTTTTAATTTATTCTATAATATTTTATAAGTTGTGGAATAAGAGACAAGTGAAAAAATAAAGTTTAACAAAATTTTAGAACAGAAAAATAAATGTAAACAAGATTAGTTTTACTCGTTACAAAGTGGACACCTAAATCAAGTTTTCATATTTTTTTTAAGTGAATTTCGAACACAACGGAAGTTTGGATAGAGATAGTTTACTTAGTTTAAGTCTTTTTTTTTTTTAAACTTTTTGTTGGTTTAACTTGCATTGACTTAATTAAATCAGACTAAAAATATTTGAATTTAATTTAGATTCAAAATGTAAAGTTTAAGCCTTACATTTTATTAGATGAGTTCAGATGAGTCTAATTGAACAAACTCATTTTATTTGTACTATTTTGAGAAATCATTCTATTGAGAATAATGAAATTTTCTAAGTTATAATGATACTTTGTTTGAGCTAAAGGGTTTTTGTATGGTTAATATTTGAGCTATTTTACTCAAAAAAATTGGAGAAAAGGTTCAATACTTCTTAAAAAGTTAGGATTCTTATATATTCTAAGTACACATTTCAACTAAAAATTGGTATAATATGATTATTAAGTATTTTTACTTTTTGACAATTTTTTTTGTAAAAAGGGGAGAAGGCCAAAAGGAAATTAATTTTTACTTGAAAAATGAGATGATTTTTTTTTCAGAAGTTTTATGAAAAGATGGTGGCTAAAAGAGCATTGATTTTTAGTCATAAAAGGAAATGATGTTCTTCGACAAGTTTTTAAGTAAACTATGGCCAAAGAAAAATATGTCGTTTTAGTCAAAATAAAGAGATATTTTTTATTAGTTTTCATAAGAAAGTTGTGACTTAAAAAAATAATTTTAGTCAATAAGTGACATTTTGACAAGTTTTGACAAATTAAATAGAATTATCAAAGTACATAAATGTCAAAAGTAAGTGGAAAAAGTTACCTCATCAAAATTGAGTCAAGCTATTTCTATATGAAAAATCTCAAGTATGAAGGCTGTAAAGAAAATTGAAGATTTAAAGTATCAAGAGTGATCATCAGCTGTTTCAACAGTTGTCAATGATTACTAATAATTGAAAATCAAAACATGTGACAAAAATTGTGAATAACATGCAAGGGCAGTTACGAAGATACATTTTAAACAATTATATTGGATAACATGTTTTAGGAAGTTATTGTGTTATAATTATAAATATAATTTCATTTCATTAGGGGTTATAAGTTTTACAGAAACACTCACTCAAAATCTCTCAGTACCAAAGTTTTACGAACTAGTTAGAATCAACTGTAAGATCAATAATCATACGCTGATTATCAATGAAAGTTATATGTTTACATTCGTATTTTCGCAATTTATTTCTGTAATGCAATCACCTTTCTTTCACACTTTATGTTGCTTTATCCTTATTTTGTTTTACAATTCTCCTTCTTACTATTATATTTTTACTTTTTGCTCTTGTTACAATATTATTAAACAATTACATTAAAAACGTACTATAGAACCCAATAAAAGGACATAAAATTCAATCTTGTATTACTTTTGAATTTATTTACTTGCTAAAATTAACTATAAACACATTAAAAAATTATTAGTTTCAAACTAAAAGAGATGATAATACTAATTGTAAACATCTAAACAAGATCGACAATAATTAATACTTTTTTAAGTAAAGTAAATTATTTAAAACGTAATTTTAAAAGATGACAATACGTTGACAACGACAAAATATCAACAACTAAAAGGAAAAAAAAATAATTATTCATGAAATTAGTTAAATAAAAATATTGACTCAATTTCACTCAATTGATTATTTAGTCAAACAAATTAATTACAGTTTATATGTAAATTTTTTCCTATAAATTAAAATATATCTAAGAGGAATAATAATTGATGACCACTCCATTATAGATGATATAA